TGCAGGAAAAACACGGTCAGTCACTTTATTTTCTGGATGATTTAACTTTCCAAACATGTATCCATCCAAATGCCAGATGACCAGACAAACAGGAGCTGCGTTTTTCTCTGGTCAGGTTTCTAGTGGCCCAGAATAAAAAATAAAAAAACTGACGACCATCGGCTCGGGCCTCAGGATGAATAAATGGATAAATGCCCTGCTTGTTTGGGGCCTTGACGAACTGACATAAACCCTCATTGTAAAGTTAAACTGTCAGATGGTTCTGTGCCAGTTGGTATTATTTATACTGTATTGAATCCTTGTTGTTTTTGGTTGATGGTAGTTTCCTGACTGACAAGACTTTATTTCTGAAAAATGTTCATTTCAAGCCAAAGTAAATATCTCTCATTGATTTTGTCACATTATTTGGCCTGTGCTCTTGGGATCTGAACTATTTTTGTGAGAACCTTAAATACCCCATTATGCAATAGATCACTTTTTCATGTCTAAGTCTAAACGTAGTCTGAATCCTCAAACCTTAAAGAAAAGAGACAGGACGGGTAAGGTGGGGTCCTCCATTTGTATGATGGTATTCTTTTTATCTGACGCTCCACACAAACAAACAAAAGGACACTCAGTCTATATGTGTGAGCTTAAGCGCTGGTCTGTAATTGGCCTCCAATATCAAAATAAATGTTTTGTACTTTATCACTTTTCCAGTAATAGTGTTCACGTTATGACAAGTAACACCCGTAAATAAACTACCACTTGAATATGCTTTGCCTGTATTATTTCATATAACGTGCCTTATCTTGACGTTTAAGGGTCATGACTGTATTTTATTGCTCCCAAATGGTAAATACAGTAACAGGATTTCCCCTGAATTGAGAAAAGTCCCTCGATGTGTGCTCTGACTGCAGGTCAACCAAATCCTGCTGGTCAGTTCCATCCATCACCCTGCAGGTACACACATTATTATGATATACTCTCATGCTCGTATAGTCTATTGCAATCTTTTGTCTACGGCAGATTATTAAACTCGACATCTCCTCCTCCTTTTTTCTCTTCTTATCCCTTGTTTCAGATTATAATAAAACATTTTTTTTTTCTCCTGAGTTGGAACAAGGAAGAGACAAAGAGCAGATATTTAGACTATGAATATAATGCTGAGCTATGTTACTGTGTGAATTTATTTTGCTGTGTACAATGAAACATTTTACGATCTCAGACATTATCGTGGGGGAGCTGATGCTACACAGCCATATGCTTTGAAGGAAGAACACTGCAGATTTGGTTTCATCTTACATTCATATTCTGAAACAATTTTTCATCCACTTCCTTTTTTCAGATTTGAATTGCTGAAAAGGCACACAGCCACCGTGAGTCAAACGGGCCCCGCGGAGATGCCGTGAGTCAGGAGGAAAAGAGGGCCGGGGGTTTGTGCTCTTGGTTACAGGGCAAACACCACATCTTTAAAGACTTTTGCGCCAGCCACACAATGCTCATGGGACACAAATGTTGTTTCGTACAGAAAGAAAAATGCAAAAATCAGATCCGTCAGTACCATGTCCCAACCGAATTGGTTACAGCTCTCCTCTCTGTTCGCTATCAGTGCATGCATCTCGTGTGTGCATACAGTATGTACAATGTGTGTGTCTATGCGGACACTGGAGAGGGATACCCCTCTCACTTCAAACTACATTCCTTGACCTCGCATCCTCCAGACAATGTGTGAGAACAGCGCGGCCCTGTAGCCGCTCAGCATAACGGTCGGGTACATGGGCCTTCTTTTATCTTCTCTTTGGCCACAAAATAAATGCGTCACTCATCCGTAGCTCATGTGATGGCATTCGTCAGGAAAGAGTTGTGTTTCCGTTTGTTGTGTTTTCTCGTGATCTGGGGAGAAGTGAAATGAAGCCGGACTGAAACGTTTTACATAACGGGGGGAGACGGTTTGATGGGGAAATAACAAAGCACTGTTTTAGCTCATCGTAACATGCTGTCGTTAAAATTGAAAGGGCAGAGTCTGTGGTATGCAATGGACACATAGAGAATTAGAAAATCAGGGTCACATTGTCTCATTGCAGAGGCCATCAGCCCCAATCAGCTCTGCTCCAATCAAAACCTGCAACAGAAAAAACATGACAGTTTAATAGTTACTTTGGAAGTGACACGGGATGATTACTGCTTTGACTGCAGATTAGTTAACCCAAAGACAAACACCGACAGAAGTAATGTACATGCACACATACTTCACAGTCGCTCCTCACAGTCGTGTCACACTCTGCCAGTCAAAATCAAGCACGCGGTGATCGCACAGCACATATTGTGCTGTTTGCCTTCACCCTGCTGTGTCTAAACGTGCATGCTGTGCTCTTTAGAATGTAAGTCTACATAAACAATGGACCGTTTGACCATTGTTTTTTTTCACATTCTAGAGGGCATGTCCCTCCCGCATTCATGTATACCTTAAAAATTACAAAAATAAATATGTTTTTTCAAAGCTATTCCACCATCCAATGAGTTTATGGCGACGTAAACCTTGTTTGATTTGCATAACAACGCTTATTCTTCCTTAAAACTGTGGGAGGTCGGAACACTGAGAAACATCACCACCGCGTAATGATGTATATATCCCGCGTTGGCTATTAGACACTAAACATGCCGACATTAACGTCCTCTCTGTCTTCCCAAAACCTTTTCCATTATTTATATACATTTCACCACCATGTATTTTTCCTCCTCATTCCCATATATATCCTTCACCCGTGTGGGGGATGCTCCTGACCTTTTGGTTTTGTTATAAATAGCATCTGAGAAAAAAAGATCTTAGAAACAACATGACCCTCTTTTGAATGATGAGGGTCAGCATGTAAATGTGTCACTTCAGGACTGCGATGCACCAACGTCTCCTCACCACTAGGTGGCTCACTGTATTTGTAAATAGTCAGGCTCACCAGAGGAATTACAATTTGTGGAAGACTGCAGTGAGGTGTAATAGTCCCAATGTGGCCAGTTAGGTTTATATAGTATATTCTTAAGAAATATTCAAGTATTCAGGCTAAATTAGTTCAGTCTTTTAGGAATCTTTCACAGCCGTCCCTCGGCCTCTAGATGAAGAAGTGATTACACAGATATCGCCTGCGAGCAAAGCAGAAAACAGAGCGGGGTAATAAAGCCGGTGGTGTAATTAAGATTAGCACGGTTTTCCCTGGTTCTGACAGGCACCAGACACCCACGGCGGACTAAGAGAGGTTGGATACGGGGGAGAAAGTCGAGAGAGAGAGAGAGAGAAGCATGGCTAATCTCCATGCCCATGCACAGTGGGGTGGGGGAGGCAGAGGGTGAGGAGGCGTGACGCTGGGATGATTACAGGGTGAGTGGACATGTGAGCAGGCGAGGGAAACTTTGGGAAGTGGTTGGAGAGAGGTCATAGGTCAGGCTGGGGGGGAAGCAGAGCGGAGCGACGTCCGTATCCCCGCACAGATCAAATGTAAACATCAGACTGTATTTGTACCGTAAGTTACAGCCTCTCCAGTTGGCAATCAGTCACAATTACGTACAGTACAACACCCTCTGGCGTATGCTGACAACTGCCATGAAGCTCACAACGTGCTGTAGATGTCAGAAATGGGGCCTCCTCAAAACACTTAGTTACAACCGTGAAATTTGTTTTCATAAAGCTGTTAGCATGAGGGCCTCGCTTGTCAATTAAATGTTTTTTTAACATGGTACCGAGGCACAGTTAACCAGCAAAGTAAGCATTCCGGTCTCATGCGTGTCTGGTTCTCATGCAGTAATGCACTGTTGTATAAGTAGGCATTTGATTTGTTACCTTTTCTTGTATTGTTCTTTTGTCTATTACCAGCTCAATTATTCAACGGGTTGTCAAATATCAGTGTTTATATATTAGTGCTGGCATAATGAACAGTTTGTTACAGTGATTTAAATTCAAGACCCTGGTAGATTCCCATCATCTGTCAATGGTTCAGGCCCCTCCTGTAGATCCAGCACACGGACAAACCTTAAACCCCGGCCTGCTTGCTTCTCCCTCATTAAAAAGAGGGAAGCTCAGAATATTGGATTAATAGCATGATGTGTGAATAAAGTGAAGGAAACACATGGAAGTGTGTGTATTGTGTTTCATTGCAATCAATCCAGAAGTTTTTAGACATTTTAGTGAAAGCACTGGAGAACAACATGAAAAGACAGTGGGCTTTGTCCTCTGGCAATTTTGAATATCTGTATATAATTTCCTGGAAATTCATTCCAACATTTTTAAAGCATTTTAGTTTGGGCTAAAATAGTAGACGTTTCTCCATGGTGACGTGGCTATTCTTATACAAGTACAACCATTTCAAGTATACTTAATTTGTCATTACAAACATCAAGGTTCCGTGTCATTGCTCACACTCAGTTAGACTCTATACCATAAATGCAACAAATATCCTGGATGTTAAGTCGGAAACAAGTGGAACCAGTGTACAAAACTGTCTTTGTTAGAGATTTAAGGAGATTTGTTCTTCAGGAGTCAGGGTGTGTGTGTGTGTGTGTGTGTGTGTGTGTGTGTGTGTGTGTGTGTGTGTGTGTGTGTGTGTGTGTGTGTGTGTGCTGAATGCTGTGCCGGGGGAAAAGCCCTGTGCCAACTTAGGTGGCATTATTTCAAGATATCCAGTTTCTTGTAAAACTAAATCAAATGTGTAAAGAGCTGGTGTTGAACTTAAAAAGGAAAGGACATTTCTAATTGTGAACACATTGACATTTTTGGGATGGGAGGCCTTGAAAAACAAAATATTTATGACGGCTTGATTACACCAAATCACCCAAATCCTCACCACGTGGTAAAAGTACAGAGAGGAAAACCAAAGGCGAAATTCTTATGAGGAAAAGCAAGGTCTCTTGCTTTCAATCTTTATGTAGTCCGTTGTTCCATAAAATTGTTGCTTATTTTGTGTGTGTGTGTGTGTGTGTGCGTTAGTTTTCTTCACACATAATGTTTAACCAGCTCTACTGACACAAGTGATACTGAGCACAAGTGACCCGAGGCTGAACACTTACTTACAGGGCGGAATGCTTAAACCAGCTGAAGGTGGTCTTGTTATTGGGTGCGTGTGTGTGCGTGTGCGTGTGTTAGGCTGAATACCGGTTATTGGAGTAACAAGGGCATTGATTCGCAAACCTTTATGTTGTGAGGTCGTCAGGTTGAGGAGGCTTCACATCATGGCTCTAGTGGATTATCCAACTTTGGCTTCCTTTCTTTTTTTACCGACAGCCATCAGTCTTCCTCACAGTCGACGTGTCTAGAACACTACTTTAGTAACTTGGCTACCAACTATTTCAGATACTGTCGGAGAAGTGTGAGGGTTGCGTTTTTAAACGGTGAAGAGGTATTTGAGGTCATGAGGAAGGTCTGCTGGAGCATAGTGGAGTGTGCCTGCAGGATCCTTGGTGTTTCTACAGCAACAGGTAAAGCAAAGTCACGCGTGTCACTTATTGCTTCGGTATGGGAGAACTGTTGTTCTTTGGATCGCTAATAGACTCCAGATCCTTTTTCTAATAAATTCCAAAGTCAGAACCACACATGCTTTTGTAAAATAAAAAAAAAGAACAAAATGAATTAGGGTTAAATGTCTTCCTGTCGGGGGCGTGAGGGGTGTCATCCGCCTTCGCTTTTTTAAGGATTTCTAAAAAGTTAGAAGGGCAGAATGGATGGATGTTGGCCAAATGTGCTCTTGACCTCCAAGAACTCAAACCCATCTCTTATCTGACATACAGAGCATGTGACACGCCTGATCATTTATAACCTCGCTGTGATGCTCCGCGGTTCTATTCGGGCACATCAGATCACATGCAGCTCTGTTTAACCACATTTAATCATCACGGGGGAAATAGCTCTCTGGTTGCAGCCCCCTTCAAAAAAGAATATGGGACCCACTCCACTTAAATCCAAACAGCTGCAGACATTGAACATTTAGAGAGAGACATGTGTCTTGTACCACACCGATACTAAGCATTTGTATCCAGCTGGGTTACCGGGATAATGTGACCACAAGCTGTTATGCATTTACACCTACAGGAAGTTTCTGTGCGTCGTCTCCGTATGGGTTTGTGTGACGGTTCGTGTTTACGGGATTTCTACACGTGTCTCTGTCTCTTTATCCGCGTGTTGACATGACTACTTGACTACATGTCCACGTCGGCCTGTCTGCCCCTGTGTGTGTTCAGGAGACAGACTTACGTGCCGGGACTACATATATGTTAATACCCTGCTGTTAATACCCTACCCTCTATATGCAGCGTTTATTTTTTTCACACTCTATAAAAGACTAGAAACAGTTTAGCCGCATTCCCCTGATTTTCCTCTGGTGCCAATTTTATCTCTGCGTTTCTGCTGAGCCAGAGAAATGATTTCCATGTGTTTATGTTCAGTGCCAATCGCTACTTAACCGTGCTTACCTCTTTAATACCTCACAGGGAAAAGATTGATATCGTTTTTAATTTTATACTGTTCCATATGTGTTGAGATGTGAGTTGGAGTCAAAACTCAAACTCAGGACTCATAGGAATAGTTTTGATGTTTGGGGTTTCTTGTTGAGTGTCAGCTCTTTTGTTGATACCACTGGTTATCTTGGCAGAGGGAAAGAAAGTTGGGAGTGTGAACCACTAATTGGTGGATTTTTTCATCTGTTGTCCCATTTAAAGTATTTTTTCCTACACTAAGCTAAACATGCAGTTTATAATATAAACACATTTGTCTCATCTAACCCACTGGAAGAAAGTAAATGAGCATATTTCCCCAAAAGTCTAGTTCATATTAAATATGTGGAAGGCGGTGGCCTTCCACCAAGTTTAGATTATTAAAAGTAAAGCAAAAGAGAAAAATTGGTGATCCTGCAGAGGAATACATCCGCAAGCATGCAATTGAAGAGCAGTATCACTTTTTACAATACTTTGGTACTAAATATAGATGGAAGAATAGATGTAATACTGTTCTGGATCAGTATACTTACTACTCATGAGCCTAAAATGTAGGAAGGACTTTCAATATACCATGACGTCTGTTTACCACTTCGCCTACGAAGTGGCAAAACTTTTTTTAAATGTCACGATTCGGTTCTGGCAGAGGATCTTTGACGTAATAAGAGTCCGCTGGTAGTGATAAAGTAATTACAACCATGAGTAAGCCATTACCAGAATGTTGTAACCGGGGTGGAAATAATTATAACAATTACCAGCATTAAATCTTTTATAATGGTCTTTATATAACAAAGATCAATAGTTTGATTCTACCCCTCGGAGTGTAAACTATGAGCTCAAATTGTACAACTCAGGTCGATGTTTATTACCAAATGACGGGAGAAATTATTCTCAGATTTGAGTTTCTAAGAAGTCCCTAAAACATCATGGCTACAAGAATATAGTTAAGACAACATTGACGGCAAAATTGGAAAGACACACAAAACGTGCCAAAGAACAGTAACAGCAGCCGATTGGTCACAGTGGAGATTCAATCACAACAAAGTTTAGCCAAATTGACCCGCTAAAGCAGCCTGTCCTGCAACTACAGAGAAAACCATGAACTAAGTCTGACATCTGGTGGACACAACGTGCTCAACAGTAACTCTAAAAAAAGAAAATAAGTTTTCTTCCTGTGTTTTTTTCCAGTGTTGTGCGCTGTGGGAGTGGAGACCCTGAAACAGGGAGACTTCAGCAGCCTCGGCATCTACCTAGTGTGAGTGTTTAGGTTTTTAACATGCTGTGTGAATCTATGATACTGGTGGATTCCTGAATTAGAAGTAAACCAGGACAGAAGAAAACCATTACAATACTGTACCTGCCACCATATTCACTCGCACCACATACACACACTTGCGAGGAGATATTGGGAAAAGGTCAGAGGGATGAAGAGACATGCAGAGGGCAAAATTCAAATCAGCCCCCCAGTAACACTTTGCATTATCTCTGTGGCGCACAGCCAAACCCCAACGGAGTCGCAGGAAACCGCCTCCCCAAGGACAACAAAAATGCATGACTGATTATTCTGCAACTCTTCAAAGAGAGGCAGTGCACAATGACGGTTCGTTTGGGGACATTTTTCGGGTCAAATATTATTATTATAAAAACATGAAATAGAAAAAAGGGGATAAAGCAGCAAACAGTCAAATAAATAAAATTCAAATTGTAAAGTGCACCATATGAAGGTGATTTCTCTGAACATGAATCATTCCCTTACTGCTTAAATAAAGATTTTGAAAAAGAAAACCCATAACTGGAGAAAATACTCAAAAAGGGGCATATATTTAGGTGGTTAAACACAGTTAGCTGATTAAATCAATTTTCTGTTCTGCTCTTGTCTATTCTTCTCCCAGGGTGTCATCGGTTGGCATCATGATGTTTGAGCTGGCCTATTTCCTGGACAGACTTCTAGTCATGTGTCTGCCGTGAGTAGCCCACACAACATTCAATTGTTTGATATGGATATTTTAGTCATGGAAACGTCTGTGGTTTCTGGCCAGTATGATTATCTTTGGTCTTTTTTAATATGAGCAGCAGAAAGCAGTTCCAACTTTAAATCTGGAGATGGAATCTGAACTTTAGTCTGTCATCATGTCACTATTCAATTACTTTCAAAATAATGTAAAATTGTATTAATGTGACTTTCAGCCTCTTTTATTGTGGCATTGCTTGTTTTCTCTTCATCTTTCTCCAGCTGTCCTCCACACTGGCAGCTGTTTCTGTTGTGGGGGAAGATGGCTCGCATCGGAGGCTTCCATAAATTCCTCTATTACTCCATAATGTCCGTGGTCTGCTTCTTGCACCCTGTGTTGGTGTGGCATGCAGTCATCCCAGGTAACAAAAAAAAACCCGGGCGAGCATCATGCTTACACTGAAAATGTGTTCCACCATCAGAAGTATCGATCACATACAATTGGAAACACTGGTGTGTCTAAACAACATTAAAAATGGCGCGTCTCTGTTCAAGTGTCCCAGTGAGGTGCGACAGTGAGCCAACATGCACAATGAAACACGAAGCCGCTCAATAAAATCATTCATTTCCTTTTTTACATCAGTGTGCTTGCTACTGAAACGTGCTAAAGAGTCTGCAGTGAAGGAAATAAAATATATGTTGTGATTGCAGGGACAATGCTACTGGTGACGGCCTTTTTTAACTTCATACTGAGCAAGAAAACAAAGCTTGAATCCCCCAAAAGACCCCAAGAGAGCCACTGCGACCATGGCCCGACCACCGTCTGCGTGGCAGAAGGCGCCTCCTCAAACGGCGCAGCCTCGTTCCTCCACATGGCGGCGGGAAGGAGAGGGGGAGGACCGGGCCTCGCAGCCAGAGACCGCTGTCTCGGCCCGGGAGAGGGAGGAGAGAGCGTCCAAACCATGCTGGAGCCGGAGCAGACGGCAGCACCTAAAGGCACAGACAGAGACAGGAGGAGACTGAAGGAGAGGAGACTGTTCTGCCTGAGAGGCAGGGAGGAGCCTGTGGAGAGGGAGATGGAAGACATGGACTGTTACTGTGAGCCAGAGGCAGACACCACCTCAGACACTGCGCCTATGATCACTGACTGAACGTCCCTCTGCGCTCAGCCTGAGCATCCTGCTGATATCACACAAAGGAAAGCAGGCGAAATGTGTTTATACTGAGTGCAACTAGCCGGTGCTACACTGTGGTGGATGTTTGTCTGCAAATAATATTAACAAACGTTCAACTGAGTATTCAGTAATAATTGACTGTATATCTCAAATGAGTTTGTAGATTATCAGACTTTTTTTTATTAAACAATCTACTGATTTGTCCAATTTTCACTTCAAAAAGATTTATCTACTTATAGAAATTTATAAAATGTTGTGCGGTTTTCGCAATACTTGGTCCTGAGATGTATCCCCTACACGAAAAAGTCATTGGCTTTAAGACTTTAAGTGAGAACGCCGGCATTGATTTAGAGAGCAGACATTAATGCCAATCCAATCCAGTTACTGCTACATGCATTATTCATGAGGAAATAAATTAGATTGATTATTTCATTTGTTCACCATCAGATAGCATGTGCACGACTGTGAGGCATAAAGCCGGTGCAGGTGCATGTGTTACTCACATTCAAGCGTCCTCATTGTGTGTTTGTCAAGTGCAAGCGGTGACCATGGAAACGGAGCTCTGGGAGGAGCGCTCACGGTATTATGGTGATGAGAAACCATTTAGATCACCCACCAGAGAGACACCAAACCAAAACATGATTGCGAAGCAGCTTTCATGCGTTTATAATATGTCATATGCTGAGCATTGATTATATGGATGTGGTGTGTGAATCAGACCCCAAAAAACAATAAATCACTCTGAAATTACCATATTTGTGATACAAAAGTGTGGATCAGAAGCTTGTGTTAACATTTCACTAGTTTCTGTTTTTTTTCATCGTGCTAAAAATGATATAATCCAACATACAGACATTCGTCTTTTGTTAAGGTGATAAATCAATACTGTTTTGTTCTGTCAGCACACACACATACACACACAGTGTATTTCTCAATCCTTTGTTCACTGAATTGTAGATGTATTACTCTACGAAGGGATAACATGTGATCTCTTTAGAGCATCAAAGCTAAGGAGGGAATCAACAGACCCGTGAAAGCACACTGACACAAAACAAAGGACTGGCTTATCCGTCCTATTACACACAAATAAAACCCACAGCCTATAAACGGTGTCGTATATTCTTCCAACCTTTCAAACACATTTCTTTACAATATAAGAACACTATGACATGTGAATCCGGTCAGGAGGGATGACATGTTCAATGAGAGGAACGAGGAGTCTTTGTCCAGAGTTCACTAAGGCCGATAATCAGGGCTTGTTCACAATTGTGTCGGAGCAATTAGAAACTGACAAGAATAGAATGTCAGCGTTTCCAGTCTGTTTTAAACAAATGTGTCATATCCTTTGGTAAAGGCTGTTCTCTATGGGGGAAGTTATATAGCTGCAGGAACAACTTACTTCCTCTGAGCATGTTAAATCATAAATCCTATTTAGACACAGAGAGAGAGAGAGAGAGAGAGACTTCCTACGGTTTGTTTCCGCCCTACAATAGTTTCCTAGATGGCAGATGGCTGAAAAACAGGATGGGAAAAATAAATCTGGACCGGTCACAGGGACTTCATCCTTTACCGCTTAGCTTGAAAATAACAGGAGATGCTTTAATGGTGGTGTATGGCTATAAAAAAAGGTTTGTTTCTAAAATGACTTTTGTTATTCGCTAAAAGAAAAAAATGACAAAATACTTGTCAAACTGTATAAAAAAACATTGAGTAACAGTAAGTAAAAAACAGAAAGTTAAAATGTCGTGGCAACATAAAAAAAACGTGGCATTAAAAAGAAGTCAATGAATACATTGAAAGGCTCTGACCTCAGTTTTCTATCAGTTTGAAGATCAAACCAACAGAAGTAAAAAGACAGAGGTTAAACTGATGGCTCGGACAGATGTGGTTGTAGCAACGCGCCCAGCGGCTCCTTCAACAGAAGGAGAGGTTTGCCTTTCGGCCCCGCCCACTCCTCCGCGTTGATTGGTTGAAATGCGTGTGCACGGCTTTCTATTGGATCATCCCGTTGTCGGTTTAATCTTCCAGCTCTGAATACCTTAAACCAAAGGAGGCATGAAGCCTGATACTGAACAACGAGGCAGGATATCGGTGCTGGATGAAAGAAGGCATGAAAGAAAGAAGACGGAGGGCTGCAATGGGAAGAAACCAGACCGATTAGCCCACCGCAGAAAATTAAAGAAGGAAGAAGATCCCTCGTTGCGATTATGCGGCTTAGTGCCCTGAAGACCAGGGGTGTTATTAAGTTGGATGAAAATATCATCAGTATAAATTCCGAGTTTTTTTCGCATTTTGGAATGTGACAGGTATGTAAAACTTTCCTATTCGTCCACTCAGACACATACAGAACTCAGATACAAAACTACGTTCCTCGAAGAGTAACATAAATATACATATTTAGCAAGGGATTCGCAAATAACATTGTATTTAGAATACGTCAGTGTTTTGTGTGTGTGCATAATTCCCGGTCATTATTTTGGGGATGGATCTGTGTACGGGCGCAGCTGCCTCTGTAGGTGCGATAATTGGATACAAATCTCGCGATGATCAAACCAATTAGCAGACTTGCGTTAAAAGGTCCTTTGTCCTTCGAGGGAGATTTCGCGGCGTAATTAAGTCAGCAGAAGAACGAGGAGGAGGAGAGAAGACAAGAAACTGATTATGTAAATTCACTCAAATCTTCCAACCTTTCAGTCCATCTCCTGGGTGGTGTCTGAATAATTCACAATAATGGTGACAGACTTGAACACTTTAAACGATGGAATATTCATACAACCATTAGAATGCATAAATATGTAAAAGAGATGGATTGACCTGCACACGTTGTCAGCAGTCTCCTGCAGGTCGGCAGAGGTCATTAGAGGGAGGGGAGGTCTCATTGGTGTTGCCTTTGCATCTGTAATTGATTTATTTCTAGGGATTTTCATGTAGATTGTGACTAAGTCGATCAGGGGTGTTTGGATTAGAATCTTTAGCTCGACGGAGATAAAAAGAGGATCTGCATTGTGACAGATATGTGAAAGACTCCCTCGTCTGGGCTCAGCATTTATTGTTTAGCTGAATCTGCACCTCTTCTGCAAGAGATCACTTCCCAGTCCGGTGGTGTGGTCAGTACTGGGCTGTCTGCTTCCTGGGTTTTGTGGTGACTGTTGTAGCTCATGCAGGCATTTTATATATACATTTTTATTTTTTTTCTGAAGAAATGTTTTCCTAAGCTGCAGGAAAATACAAAAGAATCAATTCCTACGTAGAGCTCATTACATTTATTATCTTATTTTCTCCACCACAAGAAATAAACAAGAGTAATGAACCAACCTGTTTACATTGACTATGAATGGGTCAGTCACTCATCACTATGCAGTCTAACACAGTGAATTGGAAATTAACTTACACATCAGTACCGTAACTGATTAGTCTCCCTTCTTTGAACTCATGAGAGAAAAACATGCTCTGTAAATAAAAGTCTCAGACAACACTGACAGGCCGGGGCCAGTTGCACTTTAAATAAAGTTCATCAAAGTTTACCTTTCCCCTTTTCCTGCTCACTATGCTCCTGCAGGTGGTGTCAGAGATCACAAGTTTAATTGAACAGTATCAGCACAAAGCAGGATGGAGCTTTGCATGAAGAAGTTCAGTGTCTGTAACGCCTCAGACACCAGGTGGCACTAACCACCATGATTGTGGAATCAGTGTTGTTACACAAGGTGCAGTATAATCATGCGTTAAAATATAAACTGTTTGCGTCAGCATGTGGCAAATTTAACATTGTTGGAAGAAGTTGTTATATCATTTACTTAAGTAGCAATAGGACAGTGTGAGTAAAACAGTACAGAGGTTTTATCAGCAGAATAAACGTGAAAGTCACAAGAGTAATTCTAGACCATCATCAAATCTAATGATGGTCTAGTTAGTGTCATCTCAATCTGCAGTAACTACAGCTGTCACATACAGGTAGAAGTGCAAAATAATGCATTTCTCTGTGGATTATGAAGCACTTTGGATTGGAAGGGGATTCCTGTTGGCCACATGCCACTTGGTAACAACACTGTTATCTTATCAGCTGTCGCCTAGAATCAGCGTTCTGTCCGACAATTAATATTTTACTTGCAACCGCTCGAATTGTATTCATCAATAACAGAAGGCATATGAAAAGTCCCTGACATTACCCAACTCCGCCTTGATCAAAGGCCACTTGTTCTGCACTTTACTTTCACTTTCCATTTCACCCCCATGTGCTCTCAAGCGTTGAGGTATAACAGAAACGCATATCCGTTCTGCCAACGATCATGTCAGTGCCAGTTGTTGTTTTAGCGAGGATAAAAAATCCCGTTGGCACTTGCCTAGTTATTCACTTTGCCCAGATCGATGTGGGCGTGTGGGTTCAATCCGGTCAAGTATGGAGACCTCATGAAACACGCCCCAATCTCCCAAAAGCCAAGGCAACCATCCACTATAACCTGTGAAAAACATATTTTCCAATATACTTCAGGCAAATGCTTTCATTCATAGTGCCATGGAAAGATATATTTATAATTCTCCATTATAATATAGTGTTAAGTTAGCTCCTGTTTGTGCAGATGTTTTTCAAATGAATGTTTGCTTTGTGCCTGCTGCTGACTGGCATCCTGTAGTTTATTAACTACTGTACTTCATATCCTACCAAGGAAGTAAATGTCTTTCTGTTCCAATGAATTCAGAGTTTTAACAATGAATAACACACAAGGTCACAATGGATTTTTTTTTGCTGATATATTTATTTTAAAAAAACAAAGTCTGAAAAATGCTCATATCGATATAAAAATAAATAACCAACTAAGTAACAAAGTCTGCTTTTCCAGCTGCACACAGAATTATACATGAAAAGAACATGGACCATTTGACAGTTAAAAAAATACAACCGTTAACATTCATGACAAGCCTCCGGGGCTCATTTCTGTACATTTTGTGACATCATTTAAAGAAAGTTTAATATACCACCAACAGATTAGGGGATCTTGACGTCTCAACTGTGTGACATTTATAGAAAGAAAACTGCTGGACTGCTGTCTATTTAAAAAGGCTTGTGGTGACCTTGAGTCCACATTTTGGCAAAAAAAAAAACCAGCATGTACATGTTTCTTTCCATTCAGCTTCGTGTTGTTCGTCTGGTTGGTTGACTATTGGGAAGTAGAGGACGATGCTTTTTTGTTGAGGCCCCGGCTGCTCAGTCGAGAGCGTTGGCGCTGCCGAGCTCTCTCCCTCCTCCTCCTCCTCCTCCTCCGCAGGCAAAGCTTCACATCGCGACCCAACTTTTGAGCTCTAGAAAACGCACAAAGGAATACTTAATCCTTGGAGGGAAGGGCTGCGGATTGATATTCCTGATACGTATCAGACAAATCAAACCATTGAACATTTCTTGTGACATGACCGGCTTTACACAAAGAAAGGAAAGCATAATATCGAAAATTTGGATTCTACTAAAACAAATGTTCAGTGTCTTTTTTTTGTCTGACACTATAGCAAATGGTGGAGGGAAGACCGGCTGGGTGCTACAATAACTGGCTTGGCAACAAATAAGTTACTGTTAGCTGCATTTGCGGGAAACATGAGTGTGGGTGGAACCCCTCTGCCACCAGTTACACAAGGCTAAAAACATACTGCAATCTGTCGCGTAATGTGCAAATCAACTCAAATGACACGACAAAGACCTTCTTTTTTTAAGAGGTATAGTTGGTGACTATGAGATAAGGCTCAGGGGTGAAGGCTCTCACCTGTTCCAGCAGTGAATCAGTTGTTTGCCCATCGGCGCCTCCGGATTCAGGCACACTGACTCATTGGTACTCTGTAGTGTCACTCTGAAATACACACGCAAAACCACACGTTTTACTCATCTGGACGCGCGCATGTGTAAATACATGCGTGTGTGACTCTGCAGAATCTGGAACTCACATGACGGTTAATCTGTCACAGCTGGGGCTTTTGGGGTAAACTGTCAGCGCTTTCAGTTTCCCCCTGAGGCCCGGCTGCGAGTGTGGACACAAACATCTTCCCGGCACGAATGTGCCGTCTGATTCTCTCACTGCAGAGACAAAGCAGCAAGATGCCAGTTAATTCACAGCAGTAAAACACAGTTAACACGCTCGGATAGCTTCTCCACAATGAAACAAGGATCCGTATTTTATGACAGAATGAGCTGATAGATGATTCCTACCTGTGGTCAGTATGAAGCAGAGACTCAAGAAGGCGAGCGTACAGACTGGCCGAGGGTCGAGCTTCATTTTGGAGACAAGCGGAGTGTGAGGCACATGTTGCTGTTTTATACTCTTGCTCCTCCCCCCCCATGCTGTGAGCTGGGCTTTCCCAATCAGGAAACTCCCCATGGCACTTTCCCTTCTGAGATACAGGGGCTCAGGAATTAGGATAGAGGAATCAGGGCCACCATTCCTTTGTCTCGACAGAAAAGCCTTGACGGCCCGAAGGACACTCTGTCCTTTTGTTTTTATTGTGCACTTCATTTAATGGACAAAAAAGGCACTGGGGCTGCAGATCGGTCGTGTTCTTTAGAAACTGGGTCACAAAGAAGACTAAGTAGTCTTTTTAAAACAAAAATCATTGTTATTATGCTAACTGTTTCTGAGGGACTTGCCACAGCAGCAGCCATTTCCTTGAGGCGCAGACGACAGTGTTTTCATTGAGCTTTGTCACAGCATGTTCCTGCGTTGGCTCTGTGTCAACCGCATCATGTGATTTCTGCTAAGTCCCTTTACACGCCTTTTTACCACCAGAGGTATTTGTTCAAAAGCGTTTCATTTAAAACATTCTTTCTCATCCTCCAATTGGATTAAAAGTGCAACGCGACAACAAATTGCCATACTGTTTATACATTATATTAATTTTCTAAATATATATTTCTATATGGTTGACCATCACCTTTTTAAAAGCACCAGTAACATTTTCTCTACATACATGCTCATTATAATGCATCTATTAAACCCATCGTACACAGCGTTATAGAGACAATACAATTATGACTCAATTACTAATGTGGGTCTGGCATGTTCTTCTGCCACAGCTGGGCTTTAGACAGAATGGGTGAGCGTCCGACCTACGTGAAGCTCAGTGAAGAGAAACTTATACCAAAGTAAGTCCTACATTCAATTGAGTAAAATAACAATGCTGTTGTATTCAATGTCACCATTGCAAGAGAGCCATGAGTGCTGATGGCCTTTGTGGTGTCGTGTTCATATTCAGGTCCGCCATCCTGTCGCTGCTTCGGACCTACAACTGTTACCACGAAGGGAAAAACTTCCAGCTGAGGGCTCGCGAGGTAAGATCCTATCAGATAACCGGAAGGAGCGCTGGCACAAATAATATTGGTAAACAGGGAGGGTTTGGCGATAGCTCGGTGGTATGTGTGGGGGCGTGATGGATTATGAGGAGTACAGTGTTGTAAAATGAGTTACACACACACCCACACACACACAAACACACACACACACACACTGGAACCAGTCAAAGCAGGACTTTGATTTTCGGGCGGATAATGAGGACAGAAAACCTGAGTCCACGTAAGCTTCTGCACACAGACCACTGCTGCTCCAACACGCCAGAACGCTCGCAAACCACAAACAATCCCCTTAACCTCAAAATGAAAAGTAGAAGTGAAGGAGCATCAGATTTCTCATTATGTACACTAACTGCTTGGCAAAGCTTTTCCACAGTAAACTTGTTTTTATTGTGGCGTGTTTAGTTATTTGTTAGCTAATTGGTTTTTTGGTCAGGAGTTCCCCTTTATGTCCAGAATGTTTTTTAAGTGTGTGGGGGCTTTAGGGCAGGGTAGTCATCATCCGTCCCTCTTTTTTTTGTCCCACAAGCCGGACTCACAGTTGTCTCATTCTGGGAAAATCCCCCTACATTCATAACATGTGTTCATGCAACATACACATGTACAATGGAAGAACCAGTGATGTCAAAATATCACCCAATATTAACCAAAAAATACGTACAAAATAACTTAAATACTAAAAATTTGGTGATCTGATGAGTAACATTTCGTGTCAAACATACAAGAAATATCAACAGGAAAGGGACGTTTGGGATCCCCTGCTGGAACCCTGCAAAATGAGATGAGGGATGAACATTTCTCATACATTTATATGGGGTTTTTAGGATCATATGGAGGTCACTATAACATGCCATTTAAGGCCCATCAAAATGGTACCAGGCCTGTCAGCCATGTCCAACATAAAATCACCATCCATTGAACAGGATTTACTTGATATGACGGTATGATGGTTGCATTTCGCGGCCGCCGTCCCTACCGGAAATACAAGGAGACAAAGGGAGGGTTTGATGACCTGGATGAGGTCACAGACACATACAGCTGGGGATGCATGGCTGCCCTTTGGCCCCTTGTACTTCTATCAAACTCATTATAGTGAGTGTAAGTTTCTTTTTACATATTTGCAGACGTAACACTTGCCAGAGAACGAGCTGACCAGAGCAAAGCCAAAGATTACTCACGACTCTGATATTTTGTGGTAATGAGGGACATTACTCAGCAGTAACATTCTTTGGTTAGACCGACATTTGGAAAGTCCTACTCTAGAAAATATAGCGTCTATGTTGAAATGAGTTTAAATAAAAAAAACAGCCGGAGACGTGCACCACATCTCCCGCATTATTACCTTCCCCATTTGCACCTGTCATGGGTGAGTGTCATCCACCTGTCATGGGTGAGTGTTTGTTGGTTTCATTTCTATTGATTATCCAGGATGAAAACTGATCCCGTGTGAAAAAAGAAGTGGATTTGAAAGTGTTGATCTAAGATGTTATTATGATCTTGCTCTACAGGTTTGGTCAGCTGGGTTAGTCATGTTGAGCCTGGAGGTATCATGTGGTTTGACTGAGAACAAGATCTAACATGAATACTAGTAAAGAGTAAAACTATAATAATTGTTAACATGTAACTGATCAGAATCGGAAGCCATTTATTTCCACATATGTTGCACATAAAGGACTTTGGCTTGGAGCATTGGTGCAATAAAAGAATAAGATAAAGTAAAATAAGATTAAAAAAATATACAAACAAGAATTAACAATATAAACAGATAAGTACATTAAAACTTGTATGTATTTCCATATGTTTCCATGCTGAGAGAAACCACTGTGCAAATGTTCCGGGGATGAAGTATTTGGGTCAGTGGGGGACACAGACTTGAGTCCTTGTGGTATCGTCTCCTTGGCGGCTCACCAGCCGTTCCGCTGTAGTAGATATCGCTTCACTGTCTTGCTTAAGATGTCACATAAAGCACCGAATGCATCTGCTTGTGCTTTTCTGCTGTGTTTAAGGGTACTTTTTATTTTACGATGTCACCACTGGAGCACCAGTTCCTACCACTAGGTGGCAGAGTGGGATATGGTTTTCTAGATTGGAGGCTCACGTTGAGATGTGTTTGGGTTATTGCTGCACTTAACAGAAGCATTCAGATCAAGTTGAATCAATACGTCACATTCATAATCTCTTTTAAGTATAAAAAGTTTTGTAAGCAGATAATGAAAAACAATAAAATGCTCCCGGTGTTGTATTAAAAAGTGGCATCAGAAAAACTCACAAAAAAACATGAATTATTACGTAATCAAAATTGACTTTGTTCCCTCGTTTATGTGTAAGAAAAAACATTAGCCTTCAATTTAATATTGCTTTCTTAACTTTGTAAAAACACAGAACACACAGATATGAATAGTGATTTTCTGTTTGTTCAAGTAAAGGTATCAATAGCGGATCCGCTGATTGTCACAGATACCTGAATCAATCATTTAAGTCCCGACCGGCGCAAAGATGTATCTCTAGTTATAACTAATTGTTAAAAATGAACGAGATTTAGTAACTGAAATGGAAACTGTACTTGAGAGTAGTAACCCTTGTGACTTTACCAATTTGATTGCTACGTCATGAGCCACAGTTTCCCAGATGACCTTTAGACCAGAGAGAAGATGTTTGCTGGGTTAGTGGCCACGCGGCCTCACTGTTACCGTTGTTTCAGTATTATTGATTTTACACCCACTGTTTGGTAGAAAAATTAGAACATTTATTTAAAGCCGTAATACCAAAGTATTGCTAAAAGTTAGTGTTGGGCCTTCTAGTTGAACTTGCATCAGAATACACTTAAAGTACCAAAAGTTGAAGCACTCATTGTGCTTGGAATAATAAATTATTGTTGGGTTTGTTATTATTGTAGGAATATGTATATTCCTTGAATATTGCGGCTAAATTTCAATAATAATGCTTGTAGCTGTGAATGCACCCCAGGGAATCAATACAGTATTGTCTTCTCAAAATACATCACGATTTATTTATTGGTTACTGAAACAATAAATGAAGATAGTGTAGTAAAACGTAGTAAAACGTTTGCTTATAAAATGTAAAGTGGCAAAAACTAACATACAAGTACCTTGAATAGTACTGTAATTGCAGTACTTGAATAAATACGGTTTTAATTCACATTACAGGTCATTTAGCAGACGCTTTTATCCAAAGCGACTTACATTACACTTTAAACCCATGGCCTTTTCACGTTTAGCCCAGGGAGCAATTAGGGGTTAGGTGTCTTGCTCAGGGACACACTGCGCAACATGGTTTGTATTTAACATCTAAAACTAACTAACTCTGGATTTAAACAGTCAAAGGATAAAAATGAATGTTTTCTCTGTCAATGTATACACCAAGGTCAAAATTGTACTGTATTTTGTACAGTATGAGTGTAACATTGTGTATTTACATCACACTACAGTCCCAAAGAAACTTCTGTCATTTAATACAACGGCTGCATTCTTGGCAGGATTATTTTAATAACTATTCTCACCATCATTTGATCATTTGATTTTTTAAATAATCATTTAATCTCTAAAATGAACAAATAAACTAGAAAACTATTCCCAAAGCTAAAGTTGAGGTCTTCAAATGTTTTCACAAATGTAGTTTGTCAGAAAACAGCAAAAACTAACCAAAGGTGGAATCTGAAAATGTTTTTATAGATCATCAACTTTTTAATAACTTCAGAAACAGCAGAGAATATCCATGATTATTTTAGTATTTTATTAAAGTATATTAAATTTAAAAAAAATAAAAAATCCAACAAAAACATGTGGACCTGAATCCTCAGAGCTTAGAAACAACGAATCAATCATCATTTTCTTTGGTGATTTTGTCTTGGTCCAACCTTCACAATAAGTCTCATCATTCCGCGCATTTAGTCTTTATAAATAAAGAAGGATCTTCCAACTCATCGGGGCGTCCCACTAAGTCCTAACCTGTCCAAACAACCAGTCGACAGGGTCTTTGAACCTGCAGTCTTTTTCTCTGCCCACCTTGAGAGAAAAGTCCTCTGTGCTGTTTGGACTCAGACCGTATTGTCTGGAAGTCCTGAGAGTCCGGGAAGATCCGCGTGGAAGTGACGCGGAGAGCTTCACCTGAGCCTTTAAGAACTGCCGTGGCTTGGGGGACCTCTGGAGTCTGACGAGGCCGCCGCTCTGTGCCTCAGCCGGCCGTGCAAGGGCCTGAATACTGGTCATGTACTCATCCAGAGACTCTGGGATCTGGGCAGCGTGGGTGGATGCAGTGTGGGTGGATGCAGGGAGGACCGGCGCGTCCTCAAGCGTCTCAGTGATGGTGGGTAAGAGAGGCAGGGGGAGAAACACCCGCCTGCGTTTCATGCTGTAGCAGGAAAGGGAAAGAAAATAAACATGAGACTGTGCCTCTTCAATGACAAAAGACATTTTGCACTTTAACTGTTTAATTACAAAATCTAAAATAACAATAATATACCTTTTCTTGCCTTGTTTGATACTGTGAAATGTCATGTCATGCTGCTACAATTCCTCTAAAATCGTAAGCTCCATAAGAGTAGCGGATAATAACAAATGGAGATAAAAGTCTCACCTTGGATGTTTGAGTTGTACGGTTGACATGCAGAGGGAAACCGAGCGGAGGCTCTTTCGCTTAGCGGAGTGTGACTGGACCGGAGTGTGCGCCCTGCCTTTATAGAAACACCCTGTGGCAGAGCGAGTATCCACAACTTCCAAAAATAGCCCCGCTGACCCAACTCGGATTTGTATGTGTACGTGTGTGTCGGAGTGTGGTTTTTTTCCAATGTGCAGGAAACTCAGGAGTGGCGGGTCAGCGAGGTTCAGCGGTGCAGCTGTTCTGAATATTTATATTCCAGAAACAATGAAGTCCTGAGCGCAATATACCTCGAATCAAAGAACAGGACTCTTGACAGAAATTACAGAGCTCACTATTCATTTTCACACTAAGTTGCTTGGGATTTTACCATTGTATTTCAGAACTTCAAAGTAGATATAAATATTTATTAATTTAATAGGAATTATTAATTAATTAAAAGCAGTTGAGACTGAACTGTGATTACAAGTCACAGCAGCATTACTGGTTAATCATTACTGGTTTAGTTGCAATATGTGAAAAAAGAACTTCATTTTTGTAATGGTTATTTTATTTATTTTGTCTCACATCCTAAAGGTTGAAACAGTTTCCTTTCTGTAGTCACAGCACAAAGTGTGATCATTTTCTTCCATATTTAGAGTTTCAATTCCATCACATCGGAACATTTCCCCCTGCGCGTACGTGACCCAAAGCAGTCAGGTTTCTGTTCTCATTATTGCTGCCTTCTCAGACGCGACTTCCTTGTACTGTGGGAAAAAGGGTGGGTTAAAAACCTGAATTACTTTCTCCAAGACGGGAGGGTTCACCCTGCTGTGAGCGACTGTTCCTGCACGTAAACCTGATATTTAGGCGTGGGGGGCTCCAGGATATCCTCTCCGACCGCGAGCACTGATATTCATTTGTGTGTGTGTGTGTGTGTGTGTGTGTGTGTGTGTGTGTGTGTGTTTGTGTGTCTAGGAGGATGAGGCGCTCATCCTTGAGGGGTTGCTGAACATCTATTGGGGTCTGCGCCGACCAATCCGACTTCAGATGTACGACGACAATGAAAGATTCCGTCTGAACCGGTATGAGGAGCCAGTCCAGACGGACACGGATGACTTCATGTGCTGAACAAACAGATGTGGGCCTCGTAGTTACATCACAGGCAACAAGGGACTTCACTCACACACACAATGGCAGACAAAGTCAACATGAAACCACTGACCTGCATCCGTGTCTCCGCCCTTAAAGAAAAGTCTGGAAAACTCCTTTTGCCTTTGAAGTGGCCGTGTACATGACGGCGCGGTGCTAGAGTTTGTAATTGAATAAAGATGAGAGGAAGTAGGAGAAAGGGTAAACTTTCAGCGCTTTGGCTGAAATGAAAGTGAATGCATTTGGGTATTAAAAAACAGCAATTTAAAAAACAATCGTTCTGACGGTTTCAGTAATTTATGGACAAAACGATAAATTTAATAACAAAGAATGAATTGCCGATGTCAGATGAAGCTATTAATAATATATTCTTTAAGGCCTTCGCTCAAAGCAATGAAAGTTAGCTCAGCTATAAACCCCATTCAGCCAAATTAGTTTAGCTCAAAGACTGAGGGGAGCAACTTCCCGGCTGTGTCCAAAGCCAGCGACAAACAACAAATTAGGGATCAACATAACTGCGCCCACCTAAACTTGCATGTTTCCCCCAACTGTAGCTTTATTTTCTCAAGTACGGCATACAGAGAGTGTACGAGAAATGTTAACTAATAAGCAGTATAATTGTTCCTCTTTTTGTTTTTACAGAAACGATCGATCTGGTTTGGAAAAGCAGCTCTCACCGGAGTCCAACAATAACTCACCGGGCACAGATGGTGGACCATCGAGTGAGCAGCACACGTGCAGCGTCACCCACACTTGATTGATTAATGTGCTTACAAACACCTGCTGTGTGTCTAATTCTGGATATCCGTCAGAAAGGTCGGCTCCTATGTCGGGCACAGATTACCGTGAGATGCACGTGGATCAGATAAACAACCATGCACAACCAGGTTTAGACCACGCAGTCGTGGGTCCGACATCGGCCGTTTGAAGCAGTTTAGGAAGGTCCTTCTTGGTCACAGAAAAACAAGTGAAGAAACTGCAATATTTAAGATCTTTCCTGCCAACCCAGATCATTTCTCTGGGTTTAACACCTGTATTATTTTTATAAAACTCATACACAAAGCAAAAGTATACGCGTACTTGAATATAGCAGACAGCTAAGAAAATGTGAATACTGAGCCGAACACCATTTCTTGATCCGTCTTCATGTCAAAGTGTTTCCAGCTTAACTGAAGCCCACTAAGAGAAGCGTGTTTCTGTCTACTCTGAGGTGGGGACGTGTGTGGTCGGGAGGAGGAGGATTCTCCTCAGCTGCTGAGGACCAGGAGTGACGCCTCCTTCATGCGGGTTCAGAGGAGGTCGAGGACACACACCGCCAGAGATCTGCAGCGCTTGCGAACACACAGGTTCTCAATCAACGGACATTTTTACAACCACAAGGTACAAGGAACAGAACACGCGTACAAGCACACGCATTACTGTACCTCGTTGCTGACACATTTCCAGGTGCAGAGGGGCAGCCGCGTCCTGCGTGGGCGTGCCTGTACCACGACTGCGTTTCACAATCTCCTGTTATGGGCCGATGTCATTAATATGTCACATAACACAAAGTTACACCGTGTTATCCGTTTCCCCAAAATGTGTTTATATTGAACAGGATCCAACTTTAGACTGAGGGATTTGCTTCCCGTCGACAGGGTCCGGGTTCAGTTCCAGGAATCCCTCAAGTGTTGATGCAGTTGTTAATACTAATGCTGTGTACTTTCCTCTGCATGCAGACATCTGTATTTACTCCAGCCTACGGCTCGGTCACCAACGTACGAGTGAACAGCTCCATGACGACGGGACAAGTCCTCAACCTGCTGCTGCAGAAGTTCAGGGTGAGCAGTGAGACAAACGTTAAGTGACGTTTCAGTGAAGCCAGAAATAATCTCCATTTGTGTGTTTTCAAGGTGGAGAATAAATGTGAAGAGTTTGTCCTTTACATGGTGCACGAGTCTGGCGGTGAGTCGTGACTTGCCGTCACTCATTAGCACATTACTCAATTACTCTTTGGGGTTTTGTCAGTAGAAATGCTTTGTTATGTGCGTTTGTGGTCACTTGTATCCGTCCATATCATTGCAGAGAGGACCCGACTGAAGGATGGTGAATACCCGCTGGTGGCTCGTGTGCTTTGTGGACCCTGTGAGAAGATCTCCAAAATCTTGATCACGGAGGCAGACGTGGGAGAGGAAGTTACGTACGATGTGAGTCTCGGCCTTCAACCACCACTCGTTATGTTCCCTCGCCATGGTCTCCAAGGTGACCCCGTTTTGTTTTTAGGGTTTTCCTCAACAATGACACACAATGATACAATGGACAGTTGGGTTGAATTTAACAAGTTGAGCAGAGATATCCTGTTTCAATTCTAACAATAGGCTAAGATGGCCGAGAGCAATTTGTTGTGACTGCCCTGGGTAATAAATAAAAATGGCAGGGGACCTTTTCTGGATTAATAATTGACCTCTATTTCTGGCCATAGTTTGTTTTTTGCTTGTCGTGTCATCTATCTGCCTCCACTCCAACCCAGTAAGTGAATGGAATCTTGTTTGTGTTGTGTGAAACATAAAAGTGTTTTAACTTTGGGTTTATCTTCATATCGAAGACATTATATATATCAAAGACGTGTTGTGTGTGCTGATATGTTTGAATCTTTGTCTCCTCAGGTTGCCCAATACATAAAGTTTGAAATTCCTGTTTTAGACAGCTTCGTTGAGAAACTTAAAGAAGAAGAGGAACGTGAAATAAACAAACTGACCAAAAAGTAAGTAAAAAGTCCCTCCTGTCAGCAAAGAGTTACTAAACTGGTTCCAGTCTACCCAGTTTCATTGACTGTATATTTTTATTTTATATGAAGCTGGTATCTGAGGATAAAGAAACACAATCACTGGGATTAATGTGTGTGTTTTGAGTGTGTTGTCTTAAAGGTGTTGTAAGAGGTGGGAAAGGATTTTATCAAGCAACTCGATGAGAGGAAAAAAACACATTGAATTGATCATTCTGACATGTAATACCTGGGTGATATGTTTTTGTTCCATTACACCTTCTTTAATCATGTTTGTGTTCACGCCTCTGCAGGTACAGCGCTCTGAAGAATATGATCCAACATCGGCTAGAAGGTGGAGCTCACACCAGCGAAAGAATATGAATATGTGTGACCAAAGGTTTCCATATTCCACTTGGTATAAAATGCGCCTGTCCGGGATGCACATGCTGACCACTATATGATGCACAATTAGACAGTCCCTTGTTGAAATAAAACAACAACAAATTAAACCTCATCTGCAATAACGTATTAACCACTCCAAAGCTCACACAGATAATTAAAACATGCAAACAATTAACATGAATAATAGAAATGGAAGTTAAAGCATACAAATACAAGTGTCAACCAATCGCTGTATAATTAAAGCAAAGTTGCATCTTGCCGTTACAAGTTCCCTGATCCAATCTGTGTGTCTGCAGGGCTCAATATCAATGATTTATTATGGGAACATTGGCCACAACTGTAGTAGATGTAGAGGTAACGGTAAAAGTGTAAACGTAAAGGTTAGTAGAACGATGTTATACACCAATGTGCTTCTAATCTTAGAATGACAGTGTGTGTGATATATTAAAGTCCCTGTATTACTATGAATTCTATCACTGCTTTGATATCCCTGCTATCAACATATTTGCATTTTGTATTAAATATTGACATACGCTGCTTTTAGGTAATGTATTCTCTGACTTTTTAAAATAATAAATATGTTGGATCCCTGCTGGCACCAAACACAGAAACCTGCTTGGACTTGCCAAAGAAAAAGATCTTTATTATTTCCTGTTCTTCCACGAGGACTGAAGCACAGATTAGCATTGTTCTTCTGCGAGACCCTCTTTGCCATCTAGTTCCCATGAGCTTTGTGTGTGTGTGTGTGTGTGTGTGTTAACCTTCAACATTACACAATATGGGTATCCTGAGAAAGAAGGTCTGTTCCGTTTTCCCACAGTTTCACAAGCAGCAAAACTGATGTTATATTTTGTCGACTATTATTGCTGCAGTATTGGATTAATCAAATAAGAAGCTGATTAATTGTTGACACATGTACACACCTCGTGTTCAGAGGCTCATGCACCACAAATAACAAAACAAAAAAACTTTTTTGGGGTGTGTCAGAGGGTTGTTTTGTAATATTTATACAGAGGAACTTGTGTAGCAAATCATTCTAATTTGCAGGTGCATCGTAGCTCCGCTTACATCTTGAATAGTTGAAGCGACTTCAAGCGGAGGAAGATAAAAACCAACAGATTGGGTAAACAATTGCATGTTGCAAGACGCAGCTCAGTCTAAGAATCTTTTAATTATTATTTGTTGAGGTAAAGAAGAACCTTTCAAGCTTCAAGTGGATGAAGGCCGGAGAGAGAGCTGGAGGAAAAACAGGCTTCGTCTCTTGTAGATCACATCTTGAAAAAACAAATCAGGAGAATTAATCACATTATCACGTCTCTTGTTATTCTTCTTACTCCCCTCCTTGCACACATGTGCCTCAATTTCCTTTTCAACCTTCCATCAACAATATTAGTCTTTCCATTTCCTTAAACGCTTAACATTTCCATCTTTGTAGTGCTATGGTAAAATATGTTATAGCACAGTCTTATGCTAAAAGAGTGATAATGGTATGTATTGAAGTTTAACGTGTGAAAATCAGAATGATTTTCCATTTGCAGCTGTGTCTGAAGAAAAGAGGGCGAGTCAACACGCTCTCACACAAGCGCTCGTACAAAGGAACTGTCTGTTACCCCATCTTAACCTTGGTTCATGTCTCGCTTGGTTCGCAGGTTTCATATCTACCATCTCCCATGTGGTCTAGTAGTTAGGATTCGGTGCCACCTGCCACTGGGGATGACCTTCATGTGTGTGTATAAAAGCTCAACATTTTGACTGCTCTGACATTTATGTCTCCTCTGAGCACTGTAATGCGTGCTTGTGTATTTGAGCAATAAAAGGACTTTTACAAACTTTGATCATTCATCAAGACCCTGTTTTTATCAGACAAACACTGCATTCTCTTCTCCCGAACTAGTTAGAAGGAAATATTCCACAACACTTCACAGATTGTTGTTGAACAACAATCCACAAGCCTTGCTGTTGAGGTGGCCACTAACCGACAGGACAATTACTGAGTTTGCAGGGTTATAATTTACAGCAAACTGGTCCAGTTAGTATTCTTCCTCCTTACCTTGGTAGTAAAAGTGAACCAGATGCAGAAGCAATTTTTTTCTTGTTTGTATTGCAGATGGGGCTCTTGGGTTGAAAACAACCCCATAGACTTTCCGGTAGAGGAATGAGACTTTTATTTTGAAAGGACTCGCACATCTGTTTTGCGTGTTGGCCTTACGGTACCGCTACATTAAAATAAAAAGTTTAATAGTTAACCCGTATGAGGAAAAAAGCTCTTACGGTGTTGAAAATGTACCACTTTATGGAAAATAAAGCAGTAAATTGCATGTATCCGGTACACATGAGTGTTTTTTCTTGGTAAGAGTGTTTCTTTTCCTTTATTGGCATAGAATGCTTTGGATTAACCACACTCTTGTTGTCAGAGGACGGATGTCCCCGGTGGTGTTTGAAATGGAGCAACAAACGTTTTTCAATTACAGCAGCAGGTGCCGACATGATAGAACTACAGTACCACCTACAGGTCCTTTGTTTGTACCAGGTGACGGCCTGCAGGAAATGTGACAGACGTCTGTAAAACTTTAACATTATAAGACATGACAGCTAATTTGGAAACATGTTGTGTGAACATCCCTTAAATAAATTCTTGTATACGTATTGAAATGACTCATTAATACAAATTTCAGCTCACAAATTGAAAGAGCGACTTTAGATTTTAAATGAGGTTGTGACTTTACCAGCCCACATATTTCTCTTCAAGAAGGCGGAATTTGACCCCATATAAACTAAATAACATACAATTGAATTATTGCTTGTTGACCTTGGATGTTTTATAATGATCTAGATCAATGAAGCAGATCCTACAATTACTTTGTCGGAATGGTTTTGTGTAGCCGCTTTTACACTTTATGATGGTAATAAATCAATAATATGGATAGCTCCATAGTCTCTACCAAGATGGTAACAGATAGTATAATTGTGATTATTTATTGGGAACAATTCCTCAGGACAAAATCTGCAGAAATGCAGACTCATGGAAAGTGTTTATGAAGGCCTCAAAATGTTTGCAAGGAAAGACTACTATCAAGTATTTAATGTTTTATTGTTGCAGCTTTGTGAAATCGTCATTTGATTACCCGTCTAGGACTTACTCTGGTAAATGAGCCTTGCTGCCTTGCAAACTGTTACCTAACTTAAATGTAGACAGATACTTAATGATGATAATGCCGCATCCAGTAGAGGTGCTGACGTGCTGCTCAAACCTAAAGTGGGCTTCCAGCAATGACTCAAATGAAGCTTGACATTTATGTTATCTGAAATTGGAATTCTGAAAGCGAGTTTTATTTTGAAACTCTCCACAGGAAGAACCTATTCTGGCCGTCACCCATGTTTTTCCATACGAAGCAATATTTACGCGAGTCAGTTGAACAGAAGCAGCTATGGCCGTGAAGGCGGACGCTAAAGTGGTGGTTGTGGGATGCGGGATATCGGGCGTAGCGGCGGCGCACCGGCTCGTCAGCGCCGGATTTCACCACGTGCGCATTCTCGAAGCGAGCGCAAGAAGCGGAGGGAGAGTCAAAACTGGCAGACTGGGTGAGCGGCAATAACGCAACTATATCAAACTGACCGCAGATGATCTTTTCGTCTGTTTATGCAAATCACCCGAAAACCCCTTTTTGATTAACTTCCTTTATGGTTTCTTTATTGCCTCGCAGGAGGTTTAGCTGAGCTCGCGATTTGTTGTATTCTCTCTGATGCAAACAGCAGGGGGCGATAACGGACACGTAAAAACTGCCACTATCACTATAACTTCTTTCAAACTATGAACACTGATAAGAAGATAGATGTGTCACAAACAACCCGCAATAAAATTGCTTTCAGGGCACAAAAAAGCGGTATAATAGTATCCTGTCTTTTAGCTCCTTGCTTTTTCTGAAACCTCATATTATTTCCACCTGCAGGGGATAATATTGTCGAGATAGGAGCAAACTGGATCCATGGACCCTCCGAGGAGAACCCTGTGTTTCGTCTGGCCCGTAAGTACAGGCTCCTGGATCCTGAGGCCCTCAGCCCAGAGAACCAGGCCATGGACGTCGGAGGACATCCCCCTTATGTCCCCAACATTTTCTGCAGTTCAGGTCAAGTCTACTTTCTTTATGTAGCCCATCATCACAAATGTTGCATAAATCTGCATGTGACAATCTGCACAGGGATAAGTAACCTAGTGGTGTTTTACTAACTAATTTGTGCTTTGTGTATTGTTTTCAGGTCGGAAGCTGAATGCTGAAGACCTTCATTGTACTCAGGAACTGTTTGCCGAGTTGTTGGATGAAAGTTCAAATTTTGCGAGTCAAGGAGGAGAACCCTGGTCCTGCGTGGGAGATTTCATCCGATCACAGGTACGCTTTTCAGACTAAAATAATACTGGTGGTGTGTTTGCTAACCTCCAATATGTGAGCTATTTCAGCTTGCGTGTTAGTGATAATAAACTAAATAAATTGATGGCGTTTTGTGTGAAATAACCGTTTGCCTTGTTGCCTGGTGCAGATTCAGCAACGAGCAGCAGAGAAGTGGAAAGATATCAATGCAACCACCAGATCTCTGCGACTGTGTATGATCAGCAACATGTTGAAGTTGGAGTGCTCCATTAATGGGGCTCACAGCATGGACGAGGTGGGCCTGGGGGCCTATGGCCTTTATAAAACTCTTCCCGGACTGGACTGTACATTCCCAGGGTTCGTACTCCAATGTTGCATAATTGTAGCATCTAACAATTATTTCAACAATCGATTTCATTCAATCATTGTTTTCCTCCATCGTTCGCCATTAAATCCTCCTCCAAGGCACTCCCAGGCCAGATGACGTATATGACCCCTCTGACCTGTTCTGGGTCTACACCCGGGTCTCCTATGAAATGAGCCTGGGCAACCTCAAAAGGCTTAGGCCCAAAAGGCCTCCTGACCAGATGCTCAAATCACCTCAAAAGTCTCGGTTGACGTGTCCCTGAGGAGCAGCAGCTCGACTCTCTCCTCCAGATGCAATTATTAATCAGAGCAAAACACCTCCTAGGGTCCCATCAGAGAGGCCATTCCTCCTAATCACCCCAATCCATGGAGCTCCAACACAGGGCCTCATCTGGGTCTGTCCTCATGAGTAGCCCAGCCTCAAACCTGGTGTAGAGTTGAGCCCAACTGCATGTAGTTGGTATTGCTCCACCTGCTGTACCAGTTCACTTATGTCCGTCCGATTAACTTGAAGATACTTTGCTTCCCCAGTGGCTATGAAGGTGTGGTCAAGAACCTGATGGCGGAGCTTCCCAGTGGTTTGGTGGCCTACAATCAGCCCGTTCGCTGTGTTCGCTGGAACAACACGGAGACGAGAGAAAATCCTGTGATGGTCGAGTGTGACGAGGAGTCGATCGCTGCTGATCATGTTATCGTCACAGTACCTCTAGGTAGAATACACGCACAAGTTAACTGTTTTCCACCAGAGGGGATGAAATGTTGTAATTGTGCTGCAACTGCGCTTTTCCCAAGAACCTTTTAACCACTTATGTCATGAGCACATCATCAGGCTTTACATTCGTCAACAAGTGCTCAAATACTGGAACACTTGCATTTCTAGTTTTAACATAAGATTTTAATTACATAAGATTTGATCACGGAGAAGTGTAATACCATTTACAGAGACTTAGATTCATGGTACTCTACTGAACAAAACCTAACTTGGTTTGTTGTGTTTGTCCAGGATACCTAAAGAAGCACCATTCCGCCCTGTTCCACCCTCCTCTCCCGCTACACAAGCTGCACTCCGTCCAGAGACTAGGCTTTGGAACAAACAATAAAATATTTGTGGAGTTTGATTCTCCGTGGTGGGATGCTGACTGCGAGGTCATCTATCTTGTGTGGGAAGATGAGGTGAGATGTCAACAAAATAAAGGTAGATTTACCTGAAGGAATGTAGAACGTATGCAAACATTTAAACTGTCTTGTTTCATCTCTTGTCTTGATTCAGGACGACATGGTGGACCAGGTGCCAGATATCCCAAGATCCTGGATAAAGAAGCTGTGTGCCTTCACTGTGCTCAAACCCACTGAAAGGTTGGCAAACGCAAATGCTGATCCTTGCCCTGCGTTGTTTCTTTGTATTCAGTAGAAAATAACGTGGATTTGGAATGCAGTCTTGTTGTGCCTCGACTTTCAGGTACGGCCACGTCATGTGTGGTTGGATCGCTGGACATGAATCCGAGTTTATGGAGACACTGTCTGAACAAGAGGTCACGCTCACCGTCACGCAACTCATCCGCAGATTTACAGGTGATGTTAATAAGTTAAATGAGTCTGGCAACAATTGTCAATTGTTCAGAATACGCCATTTCCTCCTTAACATATTTCATATTTTAGATAGGAAATCTAATATGAAACTCATTTTCAAGTGTATAACTGTGTGTATTTAGGGAACCCTACCATCACCCCAAAGAGGGTCCTGCGCTCCCAGTGGTTCCACGACCCCTGGACATGTGGATCATATAGTTACCCAGGAATAGGCTGTTCGGCACAGGACCTGGAGAACCTGATGGAGCCGCTCCCAACGAAGGGATCACAGTCACAAGTACCCACACGTCCATCCGCCCAACACAATTGTTGGCACTGAGCTTAAAAGACAATTCCCACATAATGAATCTCTTTTAAAGCGATTTTGTCTGTTTCAGCCCCTGCAGGTGTTGTTTGCTGGAGAGGCCACTCATCCACACTACTACTCCACCGTCCATGGGGCTCTTCTCAGTGGGTGGAGAGAAGCTGACAGACTCGTCTCTCACTACTCCTCCGTCAGTCCATCTGAGCGGCTTAAGTCAAATCTTTAAAATGTTTTTTTTGACAAAAAATTGATTGATCACATCTTTGGCTAAAATCTGCAGGTTTTTCAAACAGAGTTGATTCGAAGGATCGTGGAGAGCTGATGTTTATATAAAGTGCTGTCCAGGCCAGTGAAGAATCTAAAGAAACAATTTGAAGTGGCACAGTAATCCGGTTTACAAATCAACTTTAAAAACCAAACAACTGTCAGAGTCAGAAATTCTTTTATATAAAATTGTCTTGATTTTAGGACTAGTTGATTTCCATGCAGTTGTGACCTCTCTGGTCGGCTGATCGTATTTGTTTTTTTTCATTGAATGTAATGTCAGATTATATTGTTTTAATATAAAAATGTTAATCTATTTCCACATTCATGTGGAAAACAATCAAAAGCTTCATCTTGCATATTTAACTATTCTATTTCACAATTATGTTTTAACTGTCTTGCATTATAATTCTTGTTCAATAAAATAATGAAACACACTTTACATAAGTGAATAATTAAACTAACATTTACAAGAAATTGTATATTAGTACCTCACTTAGACAATACTCAGAAATATTTAGTCAGGAAAATGTTATACAATCGTTTTTAATCAGAAGAGCATGTAAAGGTATAAAAGTCATTTTTTTTAATATTCTGCAGAAAGGAAAACACCAAAAGGCGACGATGACAGGAAATGAATATGACGTTTTCCAATATGGTGATATCATTTGATAGCATCAACTTATTACAAAGAAGAGATAGTCAATAGTAATAGTGTTTTTATCCTGCAGGTGGCACTAAGTACCATCATTCGCGTGTAAACTGCGAAAGACAAAACAGAAGAATAAGAACTCCCCGGAACCATGTTGTTCGACGGTTGGTTCGAGTCGGAACGTAAACAGTGAGGCACACCCTCAAAATGTCTTGCACGATACATTGTCGCTAGTCGGTCAAGTTATTTCTCCGTTCAGAGAAACAAAGGCCGAGCGCGGTGACGCGCAGCGGACCAGCAGACATGAAACTGAGCCGCGCGCTGCGCAGCGTCGCCTCGTTCAGGGCCGCTTTCGACTTCGGTGGACGGGAAGTGGCTCATTGGTTCCCCGGACACATGGCTAAAGGTTACAGCTCTGCTCTTAAGTTTTCTCCCGACTGTTTCAAATCGCGCATACGGAATACACACGTGTGTGTAAAGCGAGCATTCCTGTTTATTTAGTATAAGTTACTGGTCACGTGACTGCTGTAATAATAGCTCCACCTGACTTGTCGGCAGGACTCAGGCAGATGAAAGCCAACCTCAAGAGTGTCGACTGCATCATAGAAATCCACGACGCCAGAATATCCTTTTCGTTGTCTGATTTAACGACAGAAATTCACTTGATTACATCTGTAAATTAAGTATCGTTATGTAATTGCACCAGTTGAGTGTGTGCAGCATTTCATATCTTTTTACTAAAGGTAAAATCTGAAAAGCTTGTTTTTTCTTTAACATCGTGGACATCCCCTTCTCTGGAAGAAACCCCGTGTTCCAGGAGTCTCTGGACGTCAGACCTCACCTCTTAGTTCTAAACAAGATGGACCTCGCCGATCTGTCCAGCAAGCAGGTCAAACGTTTGTTGCTGCTGTTGTCACACAGACATCAGTGTTTTATGAATCACCTCCATAGAACGTCATCTTTACGTTTGCCCTGCAGAGAGTCCTGAAGAAGCTGGAAAAAAGCGGGGTGAGGAATGTTCTCTTCACTGACTGTTTGAAGCAAAGAGATGACAACGTAAAGAAGGTAACGGTTCAACATTTGAGGCCCCCCCCCTGATATAAAATTGTGAGCATGAACGGGCAAATTATTCCCTTTTTTTCTGTAGTTGGTGCCAATGGTGGTGGAAATCATTGACAGCAACCCACGCTTTAACAGAGATGAGGTAGGCTTCCTCCAGAAAGTTCAATTATATGTTTTGATTTCAACTTTTGGAGTAGTGAGCATTTTAAATCTGATGTAGAAACGGTTTCCTCGCTGTTCCTAAACAACTTCAAACACAATGTCTTCTTATTGATCACACAAAATAATCTTTAGCAAGCTATATGATATAAGGGGTATAAAAGAAGTCAGACCTGAGTGATGAGCACATCAACCTGCAGTTTCATTGTGACTCAAGAGCAAATTATCTATTGCTTCCCTCGTCCACAAGGAACCATTTATTTCCAGTGTTTTCCTCACTATTTTTGTCATTAAAGTGCTCTCCATGTTGGCTGTGATGTAACCTTGTCGCGTGAACCTTTCAGAACACTAATTATTGCCTGATGGTGATCGGAGTGCCCAACGTGGGGAAGTCCTCTCTTATTAACTCCCTGAGAAGAACAAACCTAAAAAAAGGTTTGTCTTATAAGTAGTAGAACGTTTTCGGATGTTGATTCTGAATAATCTTCTCTTGGGTAATAAATATTTGGTGTAATTCTACACCACTTTCAGGTCGTGCATCTCGAGTAGGTGGGGAGCCGGGTATAACTAAAGCGGTCCTGACAAAAATTCAGGTGAGTGTCAATCGGGTGTTTGTCACTGTGCATGTTTGTGTGTTCGTGGGCTCATATTGTGTGTGCAGGCGCCTGCGAGGTATTAGTATCAGTCTTTGTCCTCAGGTGTGTCAACGACCCATAATACACCTGCTGGACACCCCAGGAGTGTTGCCTCCTAAGATCGAGAGCGTGGAGACGGGCATGAAGCTGGCTTTGTGTGGTGAGCACAAAAGGATTCATTTCTTTGACACGGCAATTACTGTCATTTAGGAGACTTTCGTATTGTGTTCATTTGTGTCACATTTGTCTGTTTATGCAGTTCTTCCTGCACGCTCATCAAATATTGAGATATTTCTTCCTTCCTTCTTCAGGAACTATTCTGGATCATTTAGTGGGTGAAGACATTATTGCTGACTACTTACTCTATTCTTTGAACAGACTAGGGAAGTTCAGGTATGATTTGCCGAACATTCATATGGTCGGTGTATTCATCTTGCCTCATATCAGAGCGGTGACGCAAAACAGCATTATTCATGTTAATTGTGATATTTGAAAATGTAATATTGACATCCTATTCAAATTTCTCATGATGAAATGGTGTAAAATAAGTTTATATATATATATATATATATATATATGCAATCATTGTTTCAACCCTTTCTACACCTTCACTTTTTACGTGTCTTTTTTCAGCCAAAAAGAGGCCAATTGTAGATAAAGAAAGAAAGAGAAAGATACATTTCTATGTGTCACATTGATTGGAAATAATAGATACAGTAAACATTAACAGTAATATTAAGTATGTGTGCTTATGCGCAGTTATGTGGAAAAATATGACCTTCAAGAGCCGAGCGATGACATCCAGCATGTCCTCAAACGCATCGCTGTAAGACTTGGAAAGACCCAACGGGTCAAAGCCATTACTGGAGTGGGTAAGAGTGCTGTCACTACCGATGCTGCGTACAGAATCAGTGACTCCACATATTTCAGTTTAATTGAGTTAAAGAAATAGAATGACATTTTTTTAAAATACAGTTTTTTACTGTTCTGCCGGGAAATTGTGATCACCATCACGCATGTAAGATCTGTCTCATGACGGAAGTCTTTGTTCCTCGTCTCCTCAGGAAATATCACCATCACCGTCCCAAACTACTCAGCAGCAGCTTACGATTTCATTAGAACCTTTAGGAAAGGAGAGCTGGGGCAAGTGATGCTGGACTGACATTTTAATGAAGACAACCAGAGACTGTTTTGGGGTTTTACCTGTTTGTTCTCAACCTGGAAGAATTCATATTTAGCTTAGACATGACTTGGTCCTAAGTCACGTCCATATATGACCTCATGTTTTTGAATATTTATGTTTCTGGGTGATGTAAAAAGCACTGAATCCTTTGCAAATAAAATGATCCCACTTCATTCAAGTAAGATTTTCTTTTTCTCAGCTTTGGTTTCAGAATTCACGACACTGATATCTGAAATGGTGTAAACAGTATATTTATCAGCAAAGACAGTGGAAACAAATATTCTAGATCGAGTGCACTTATTGAAATGGAACAGTCTGTTGCTCCTGAGTGATTACAGCAGGCGAGAAGCTCCTCTGGAATGAGGGCCAGACCATCAGAGACACGAATAACCTTGACAGCAGCAGTTTGATTGCTAGCGTCCCTCCCAGCAAAGACCGTCTGAGAAATTCATTTTCTAAATGGCAGGTTTTTATAAAAGGGCATGAATTGCACTGACATTTGAGATGCGAGTGACACATGGATAATTCTCTGATTTCCCCTCTTCTTTTGGTCAATCAAAAGGGGCCGAGGGTGTGGTGTCCTGATTTGTAAAAGTCCCCCTGAGGTTATTTTGTGATTCGTGAGAACAGGTTACATAAATGACATGTACTTGACTACCTCTATAAATAGATACTTGCAATACATCCAGTCATAAGAGAAAACACATTGGCTCGGGTTACAAATTGCGATTTCCTTTTTTCAACAAAAACTAAAAACGACAGCAGGGTTGATTTCCGCTGCAGGATAATGTAAATACCACCAGGTGCTTCGACTGATAGAGAACTTTATGGAATGACTTCAGTGTTGCATAAACTGCTGCAAGTCTAGGCTTTATGCTTCGACCCAAGTCTAATAATATTTACACATGATTTACTGCTGTCTTACTGAGCTGTGATTCTGGTCATTCACCTTTTGCGCTCTTTTTGAAGATTGTTCAATAAAGTTAGCCAGTGCTGTTATCATTGGCAGCTTCTGCTTTGATTACACTTTGAATTGTTCTGAAGCTCAAACCCAATATCTGTCCGATGCACACATTTTGCGATTATGTGTTTTTGTAATGATTGTGTCTCTCCAGTGCAGCTTTCATGCCAGTCCTGCACATTACACAGCACAGAAACACAACCCTAGAATCAACCACTAATTCATCCTAGAAAAATAAGCAGAAACATCTACAGTATACTGTCCATTAAAAGTCCATATTTGGGGGAAAATGTTGCAATAATGATAGAAACCAGCTGAGAGAGAGAAGATCCATTTTGTGTTGAGCTTGACATTTGTGCATCAAAGTAGTTGGTCCTGTTGTAGTAATCCAGCTCTTCGTCTGAGCCGTCGGCCTTGCTGCGCCTGTAGGCAGACGCGTACCATTTATCGGCCGTTAATGCCACTGCTGCTCCTGCCGCCGCCGCACTCGCCACCCTCACGGGGGACGACCGGCCCCGGTAGCGAGAGCCCCGGGTCCCGCCGTTGTGGGGGCCTCCTCCTCGGTAACCTCCGGCTTTGGGGCTCCGGGAGTGGGAACCTCGAGAGGAGCCCCGGGAGCCTCCACGACCGCCCTTGGACAGCACGGGCTCACAGAGGAAAGCAGAGAGCAGCAGGCAGGTCCAGCACGTCGCGACCACCTGGTTCATCCCTGACATCTGTGCAGAAAGGACACCGAGCGGAGCACATTTTAGACCTGTACAATCAATGTCTGAACATTATACACCTTATATATAGTTTTCAAAGCAAAGAGTTTTATAATAAGTTTTATTTTCATTTTCAGTGGAATATCCACTGCAGATATGCAGATGCATCCATGATTTCTCACTAATCATTTTTTATTCAAATTCCCAAACATCACCACAAACCAGTATGACATAATCTGCTCTCATTAGCAGATTGCTAAATGGGACGTATTTAGGGGTTAGTATTGGTGTTTATTAGACCCATTTATATGTTGCAGATTCCCCTTCTCCTGGCAAGTAGGTCAGTTCTAAAATAAATATGCTCACCAGAGAACATTGCTGTTAAAGCGTTCAGCATATGCATGAAGTAACATCCCTTGGCTGGCAAAACCTGGCTTGCTTGTAAATACATACGAGGCCATCGTCGTTATTATCGAGTTCTAACGGGGAAATCCTCTTTCATTACGCACAATGCAAAACGTTCTGCAAAAGCATACGTGATGTTCACGGTATTCTCATAAATGAGCCATTACGCCGTATAAAAATAATCAGTATGTACTCGCATACACCCACGTCCACCGATGTACTGCTTGCAGCTTACCTTGTTCCGTGTGATTTTATCCTCGCCTGTGTTTGGTCGGAACGATGAGCGGCGATTGTCACAGACGATGCAGCTCGTGCATGTAGAAAACTGCGAGTACGCGCAGCGCACTCCCACGTGCGCGTCTAGAGAGCGTCAAATGGCTCCACGTAATTTTTTCTACATAAAAATGTCTTTGATATAACTGTTTTTAAATGTACCTTCATGTTGAAGGTTATTGGGTTGATTTCAACACAAAATGCTGATGGTGGTTTTGGGGTAGTTGTCTTTTTTTCCTCCGACATTTTAAAGAAACGACCAGCTGTTATGACCATAATTAATCATTAATCGTCAAATTCATTCTATCAAAAATATTTCAATTGCTTTTAAATCACGCGTGCTATATCGTTCTAATGCTATTTAGATGCTCTTATGATAAAAGACCAATTAAATAACCGATTATTTAGCCTGGATTACACAATCTAAAAAATCATGGCATTTATTTTATTTAAATTCATTAAGAGTAAAGAAGAAATGCATCTGTATCTGCACTTTGGAGATATTGATAACGATGCAGTGCTTTAAGACTAATCTACTTAGAGCTTATGAAGACCTGAAAACATATGATGCTGCAGTCGTATGATATATATTATATCTATTGTTCCCATCCAATTGTTCGTCCATAGGCGCGTAGTATAGTTATTGTAATGTGCCTTATCAATGAAGTCCTCATCTTCAATTTTCCTTTTTCAACTAATGAAAACAAAAAATATATACTCCTCAGACACCAGGTGGCAGTAACGCCAAGTTCAAACATGCTCGGGATGAAAATAAAAAAATAAAAAACACCGGCAAAGAAGAAGGAGCTTCCGGGGACATTGAAGCAGAAGCGCCCCGCAGTCCGCAGCCCCGCATCGTGTCGTCATGGCTTTCCTCTGCAGAAGTGCGGCTTCGCTGCTGAAGTCCTCGCGAGCAGCGCCGGCCGTCGTGCGCGCGGCGCGCGGCTACAGCGCAGGTGCGTGTGCGTGTGCTTAAAAACGTCCGCGTGGTCGCCTCGTTGCCACAATGTCAAAGCCGCGTCACTGAATGTGATTGTGCGACACTTGTTACAATGCAACAAGTTGCGTAACACACAGAGGAATTTGGCATGAACAGCATTGCTAATAACTTAATGTCTATTTATGGTTACACTATTCTGCTACTGTGGTTTGATATTTAAACCGACCTTGAACTGTGAATTGTGTTTTTCAGCTGTATTTACTCCATGACTTTGCTCCTCAAGGCGTATCGGCGTTGATACAAGGCCGTTGGTTTTGACCCTTCACCTCTTGACTGATTAACCACGACTAAAACCACTCTAGGATTTGTTCTTTTCTTGCCTTTGGCAGTAATGTTAGTTATAAAATGTGGTCGGCACTGCTGCTATTTACTGTACTTATGAGGCTCATTGTCTCATATTGGTCAGCTGTGTTATATTATTATGTTATATAATGCTTAGAAGTACTGGGAAACAGTGATGAGTTTAAAAGTTATTTAAGGCCACATTGTCCCTCCTGGTTTTCCGTCAGTGTTCCCTACATTCGTGGTTAAAAAGTTCCGAAATGTTTTCACCCTGTGAGCTTTGCAGAACGCTCCCGAAAGTCTCCTCCTACCGTCCGTGTGCTCGCTCCATTGCAGGTGGTCCATACGAGTACATCTTGGTGGAAAAGCGGGGCGAGAAGAGCGACGTGGGTTTCATCCAGCTGAACCGGCCCAAGGCTCTCAACGCTCTGTGCGACGGGCTGATGAGGGAGCTGGGCGAGGCCCTGGACGCCTTCGAAGCCGACGGCGAGGTCGGCGCCATCGTCCTCACCGGCAGCGAAAAGGCCTTCGCTGGTGAGGAAACCTGAGTGTGTCTCCTGGGTTGGTTTTCCAACGGTGCGTCGGTACTGAGCTCCGGCCCCTGGTTGTCTTTTAGCCGGAGCGGACATCAAGGAGATGCAGAACCGGACCTTCCAGGAGTGTTACGGTGGGAACTTCCTGGCTCACTGGAACAGAGTGTCCACGGTGAAGAAGCCCGTCATTGCTGCTGTCAATGGATTTGCTGTGAGTGTCTTTTTAAAAAAAAGGTTATTCATATCATTTATCTTTTTAATTTTGAGAAGTAGTGCAATTTCCAGATAACAGATAATGAAATATATCAAAATTAAAAATCTAAGGGAAGTACTCGTAATAATTGAATGTATTTTTAAAAAATGATATATTTTCCACTAAGGTCCATTATCTGGTGGTCGTCCCGCTATTAACTTGTCACGTCAATCCAAAAAGACTGTGTCTTTATACTTATATACTGTCTGTATTGCGTAGGTTTTAAACCTGTTTATTCAGTATTTGATCAGTTGAGGATGCATCAAATATAAAAGGCTTATGAATCAACGAAGAGGGAGACTAGTTCCTGTTCCGTAATACGGTTTCTGTTCCAGCTCGGTGGAGGCTGTGAGCTGGCGATGATGTGCGACATCATCTACGCTGGAGAGAAGGCGCAGTTTGGCCAACCGGAGATCCTTTTGGGGACCATTCCTGGTAAAAACAAAACCCCCACTAGTGTCTGCTCTCCCTCCTGTTCAGGCTGCACCTCCTTACGCCAAGATCACCAATGTCAATTTTATTTATACAGCACTTTTAAAGGCCAGTGGCCAGCCAAAGTGCTTTACAGGATAAAAACAATCAGCATCAATAAAACAATACAAGCAAACGTAAAACAAACAAGCAAAAAAATAAAAATAGAAACTTAACTCAGCCAAAGGCCAATGTGAACAAGTGAGTCTTAAGGCGAGTTTTAAAAGTGGAAAGGCTCGTCGCAGACCGCACAGAAAACGGCAAAGCGTTCCACAGTCTGGGAGCCGCTACTGCGAAGGCTCGATCTCCTTTTGTTTTAAGGAACGACCGAGGAACGTTCAGAACCAGCTGGTCAGCTGACCTTAGGGCTCTGGAGGGGTGATGCACATTAATGCATGTGCACCAGATGCACCAGATTCTTGCTTGCTTGATGATGTCGCTCTGCCTGCAGGGGCGGGGGGCACCCAGCGGCTGACCCGTGCGGTGGGCAAGTCTCTGGCCATGGAGATGGTGCTTACGGGAGACCGAATCAATGCACAGAACGCCAAACAATCAGGTAACTAGACTGAAAGAATGTTTACTTGTGTCTTGTGTGAGTATCACACTTAACAACGATCTTGAGGCGCTGAGTCTTGACTTGAGTATTTCCTTTGTTTGCTGCTTTGTGCTTCATCTCTACTAGTAGAGGGAAATGTTTTACTTGTTGAAGCCACTACATGTAGTTTACAGGTGGTATCTGGGATAATATACAGTGCTTTGTTTGCCATGTGACACTGACTTGGAAACAGGCCCTTATATCTGACTAGACCAGTGTGTGTCCCTTTTATCAAGTGCCGTGTGTGTGTGTGTGTGTGTGTGTGTGTGTGTGTGTGTGTGTGTGTGTGTGTGTGTGTGTGTGTGTGTGTGTGTGTGTGTGTGTGTGTGTGTGTGTGTGTGTGTGTGTGTGTGTGTGTGTGTGTGTGTGTGTGTGTGTGTGCGCGTGTGCGTGCGCGTGTGCGTGCATTACATTTTATCCGGTAACTTGTTCGTCTTAGGTTTGGTGAGTAAAATCTATCCGGTGGAAGAGTTGGTGACTGAAGCCGTTAAATGCGGCGAGAAAATTTCTGCCAACTCCAAACTGGTCTCTGCAATGGCTAAAGAGGCTGTGAATGCAGGTGTGTACATTTAGTCTATACGAACATGATGAATATCCTTTTAACTGAATGTCTTTTCAGTTGCGTCTGACTTGTTTACTGTGTGTGATTGCAGCGTTCGAACTGACTCTGGCTGAGGGTAATCGTTTGGAAAAGCGCTTGTTCCACGCTACCTTCGCTACAGTGAGTAGTGGAGCCCGTCTGAAAGGGAGTGACGGGGTCGACTCTGATTGATTGATTGATTGATTGACAGTCCAGTAAAATGTATGTGTCTCGTTTTTTCCCTGCAGGATGATCGGAAAGAAGGCATGACGGCGTTTGTCGAGAAGAGGAAGGCCAGTTTCCAGGATAATTAAAAACAAAGGAGCAGATCCAGACGCAAAGTCCCCGTTAGCAGCGGCTCATTTTCCTTATCTGCAATAAGTTGAGTGAGGCAGAAGTTCTGATTTGTAGTGGAGCGAGGGAGATGTTTGGATCTGGAATTGGCACTAAGTGATTGCAGTGAAGCTCTACCCGCTAACGTTTGATGTCAAATGAATTTGCCGTCTGAACACAGGAGCGCTGTGAGGTTTGTACGTGAATACTACGAATCTGCTCGTGAGCATTCGGTAGAAATAGTCTTGATGATTGTAACTGACTTTGCCGTTTCGTTTTCACTCGCAAATGTTTGTCTGCATTTTGTAGGCCTCTTATTTCTCTGTACATTTTGCAAATAAATCTCTCAAGTGGGTTTTAGTGCAGTTACGAAGGCGGTGGAAGATGTTACGTCGACAGATCACATGATAATCTATATGTATAAGGTGAAATAGAAATTCATGTAGAAGATCAAAAGTCATAATGTACAATGATGGAAAAAAGTCTCCTAATTAATTATTTTGACCTAACAATAGTTAGAAATAAAAAAAGGATAGTCCAAGTATACGTTGTATCAATAAATATATGTAAGTCAGTGTAGAATGTAATATACTATTCACTACTTTTTTGTAAAATATTTCTTTAAGTCCTAGTATGTCAAAAAGGTCAAAGTCGGTCAGTCATTTAATACATTTATTTATTTAAATTATAAATTTATATTATAAGATTCGCATTGGATCTCAGAAATCACATCTCTTTTAAAAACAAACGTTGCAGTAAATAAAACCTGACGAGTGACCGGTGGATTCACGTCACCTGCCGTCAATCGGTGTGTAATCCCACTTCACATCACCTGGTGGAGCTCTTCTGCTACTCAAAGACAGAGACCCAGGGGGACTGAGCACCGGGTTGTCGGATGGAGGACTGAGCACCTGATATCTCCAGGGCATTTATTTAACATCATTGCCGTTGCATTAAAGGTGTGGCGGAGTCAAACTTCATGTAGGCGGGATAATCTTCAAACAAAAGAGTGAACGACAACAAAAATCAAAGTTACTTATACAATCTAGAACGTCTTTACTTTATCAAGTGATCTCTAGTCATCCCACTTGATAGTTCTTAATTTCTAAAGTGACATGCAGTATCTGCATGTTTTCACTTAAGAAAATAGTTATTCAAAATATAAGAAATGTCCATGTATTTTTGTTCAATGTTTTGAAGTTGTAATGCAGTGACATGACAGCATTTGTTTTGTGATTCAAATCCACGTCACGACTGGTCAGTCAGCCTAACGCTTGACCAATAGTTATTTTACACAAGTTAGAGCAATAGCTCTTATAAATTGGTTTTGTAGAAATAAAGGTAAAGGCTCTGCTCATGTTAAAAACAATTGAACAGGATTGCAGCCTGAGCTGTTCCCTTTTTCTGAAATTCTGAAACGATTTAATAAAATGTGTCCGTTTCCTTTTGAATTAAATATCTGAAACGTGTCTTCTGATTTCAAAATGAATGATACAGGCCTGGAAATACTTTTCTCATGACACATGTGTCCAATACAGATGAGCACCACATTTGGGAAAACTGGGTTTTAAGTGATAACATCAGGTTTCCCAGTCGTTCCCAGTCGTTTTAAGGACGTGACAGACTTTCATACCAAATTGACTTCAATTCTTTGCAAAATGTGCCACAGTGCAGGTTTTTCCAGCATCAAAAGGATTTGATTTTAAGATCTTATAACCAAGAGTCTTTTGATGAAATGTTAAAGATAATTATAGTGTGATGCAGCAAAGAAGATGCTATTTAGATAAGTACCCAAAAACTAATAACCACACTTATTCACCAATTATTTGAAAGTATTTAGGAACACATAAAACGATGATTTTGACTTGGAAAAAAAACAAAACCAGAACAAATTTGGTTAGTGAGCGCTTTCTTACGGTGCTCCAATCATCGCACAGCATCCTTTTCTCTCTCTGATCTTCACTCGGCGGCGCCTTATATATTCACAAGGCCATGGCCTAATTGATTTTTTTTTCTTTCAATATTACCCCGGAGCTCGCATTCTTGTCAGCCCCCTGGAACCAAACTTCTAAAAGGAGAAAGAAAAAAAACTCATCTTCTCACTCCACGGGGAAGCACAAAAGTCTGCAGAGAAGGCCCGAAAAGAAGCCCCTCTTTGAGACCACCGAAAGGTCAAAATAATAAATGTAGACTCAATTGAGGCTCTCCACACCGATAAAGGGGGCAAAACGTTACATTTTGGCAGTGCGGACCCTCATAGCGTGATAAACTCATTTAAAGCAGCCGGAATAAAGAGAGAGCAGCATGGTTCCAGAGAGGGAGAAAGGGGCTTTCACGCTGGCAGACAGGCCTGGCTCCTGCAGGGCCTTTTTCTCCGGAACTGCAACGTCTCTTGCCTCTCATATTCTCAAATTGCAATGCCTTTGTGCCACTCCGTCATGGTGACTTTCTCTTTTTTTCTATTAATCAAAAGTGTTTTAAAACCATTTCATATGTCACATAACCTTGAGCCTCGGCTTGGAATTTTTAATGATTCGCACAAAGTCGGGTCAAAAGGTAATTTTGAATCGAGGAAGCATTCGCGCCGTATCATTTTCCATTCAATTGTAATGACTTTTAACGACAACTCAACAATAAAACCCATTTTTCTGAGCTCTGTTTCCAATCAGAATACAAGTCAACATGGTGACACAGTTGTCACGTGTTTGCGTATCGTTTCCCCACCTGAACCCTCTCACCTGTACGGAGCTAAGCGAGACCTCTTCCTGCATCGATGCTCTGTGTTACCTGAACTGCACATTTCCAGGTTATATAGTTAATAAAAAAATAAGATTTACGGATTTAAAAACAGCAATAAGTTAGATTCCCAATGAGGATCTCCTATTTAATATTAACAGCAGCTGTATAAGGATTGTAAATTCAATAAGCTGTAAAACCACAAGCCTGCAATGCTCAATGCTGTGACTTGATGTTTATGAAATTTTTATAAGCAGATCTCTTGCTTTTTACTCCTTTTTTTTAGAACTTGCAGTCATGGAAAGAATTCCTCAGCACTTTTCTGCCATCCGGCTGAAAGTTTCACAGATGAACGGCAGAGCGGATCTCACTAGTGTCTGCTTTAAACTATGTTCACCCAAGGCTCTCAGAAACACGCAGTAGTTGGACTAATGGAACAACCCTATTTCATAGCTTGGTACAGTTCGTGCCATTGAATCGGTTATCGGTTTTAGTTGGTTGCAAAAGTGACTGAACATTTTGGGAAATAATTGTTTGAATTTAATAATATTTGATTAAGAACTCTCAATGGGGTTTGAGTGATGATTCTAACTATTTAAAGTGCTGTACCTCTTCAGTGGTGAGTCTATAGGGCTGTAGGTATGACGTATTTATAGGCCAACCCTGGAAGTTAGTTGTGCATGTTTGATAATTTGTTTGTGTTAATGACTATTTCACTCTTCTTCACAAATGAATACCACTTTTATGACTTCTGAAGGACGAATGTGAACAGTAACCGGGGAACATTGGAAAATTGACAAATAGTGTATTAATGACAAACATCAAAATATCTTGTGTTATGCACAGACCTTATTTTAGGAATCAAACCAAAAAAAACAACTTAAAACAGTGCAAACACATTCAAACTAACAGTTGGACATACATGAAGACAACAGACGAAATCAATACTTAAAAGAAAATTATGCTATGATGATATTATATTGAGCCAACTGGCACCATATTATTCTTAATGCAAACTATAAGAGAAGTGTTGAAAAAGAGGAACGACCCAACAACCCGACCCTATTCACTAGAAGGAAAGGACATATAAAATAGTGTCTACAAATATTACAGTGACTAACAAAGTGAAATGTGCTCAACCTAGTTAGTGAAGGATTGCACAGTCTGAGAATCATTTCATCATACAATCTTTTCAAGCATTTTCATAATCACAATTTGTGCAATTTTGTAAAGTTCAATGGAGAGGAGACGCAGTGAGGCTGTGTCCCTCTCCATTAAAACAGGGCATGCGCAAATTCTGGGATTTTAATTATAAAAATGCTTGAAATGATTGCAATCACACAAACATCCAATGTATAGCACAGCTCAGATAACTATCATTTCTTATTTTATTTGATCATTATTTGTTTTTTTATTTACTGACCGCACGTCCCTGAAAGAAACAAGTCACCCCCCTAAATTATCCATCTGAACCCTGAATCTGACGTCACCAGGTAAATGGATGAGTAAAAGTCTAAAGGTCGAATGGGACAGCGCTGCAACACGTCACCATGGCAACGTCAAACAATATGATTAACAATTGCTCTGATGACAACGTTTTATATGTTATGTTGATTCATATATTTTGTCTGATTTTCGCTATCTTCAACCCTTGATGTTTTCAATGTATACATTTTATTATGACAGTTTGAACACACGTGTGCACTGTTTACCTTTTCCCCTCTCCGTGCGTTCACTGGTTATCCCGTCTTCAACGTCATATCGCAATGCCCTGTGGGTAATTACCTTGGTTTAAGTCAGCATCCAATGTGGTTCACAATGGGCTCAAACACCCAGCAATTTCACAACGACATTAACCACCACGCAGTCAGCGGGAGCGCGCACCGTGGGGCGCGCATTGGGACCCGGGCGGTAGTTACACAACATCCGGAAGCGCAAAAATCCTACGCGTGCTCGGATGTCGTGAGGCGCTGTGATCTCTTGTTTAACTCTCCCGGCTCCGTAGTGGACATCATGGTCGTGCTGAAAGGAATCCCCGCGGTTCTGTCTCCCGAGCTGCTGTTCGCTCTCGCCCAAATGGGCCACGGGGATGAACTGGGTATGACGTTTGATAGCACGCACGTGACCGTGGTCGCCTCACAGCTGTAGACCGTGTGGATGGTGATTGTAGGGCAGAAGAAGGCTAATCCCAGCTGAGAGCCAGTGTAAAGAGTGACAGAGCAGAACTCTGTGAACAGCATCATTCACCTTTAAAAAACGAACAAAAAAAAGTCATTCAATGACTTTTTGTTTTTGTTTTGTTTTTCTCAGTTCTTGCTGATGCAAATTTTCCAGCATCGTCCATTTGTGCCTGCGGTCCAAAAGAGATAAGAGCTGATGGTATGTTAATACATCTCTTTTTAAGTATACAAGTATATTTATTTAAAACTGCCTCCGATCTTCATGCAGGTTTAGGAATCCCACAGCTTTTGGAGGCCATTCTGAAGCTGCTGCCCCTGGACACCTACGTCCCCTCTCCGGTACAGGACCATGAGTCATTGAACGATGTCTCGCGGAGGGAAATAAGGACTGGATTCTTATCGTTATGGGCTACTTGTTGTCTTTTTAATTTATCGGTGTCTCTGCTTTTAAAGGCTGCAGTCATGGATCTGGTAGAGAGTGACAAACAGAGATGTTTAGCTGTCCCTGTGTGGGACACCTACACACGGCTCCTGGGTCAGGCGGGGTGTCAGGTAAAAGGACGGAGTCACCTAATGGCCTCCCAATTATTTTTTGACCCTTGACCCCGTTTTTTCCCCTTTGCATGTAGTCGCCCCTTGAGAGGGTGGAGCGGTTTTCTTTCTATGAGCGAGCCAAGAAAGCCTACGTTGTTGTGGCAACAGGGTGCGTATCTTTCTCTGCCTTCGTTTGATTTATTGTACCTGAATGTTTCATTTGGCGTCTGGAAATAATAAGATTTGAATTATTGGTCGATTAGGATTTGCACAACATAATGATTTAAAATCTCCACAACAGACTAATTAATCCAAATATGTCTTTAAAGATACTGCTGATATTGTTCTGTCTGCTCTTTGTGCTCAGGGAAACCGCTCTGTATGGTAATGTGATGCTGAAGAAAGGGGTCCTCTCCGCTGAGCTGCTACAGTGACACACACAGAAGCTATTAAAGTAATGACGATTATTTCAGTAACAATAAAAGATGAAATTAAATCTATGGAAAATCAAGAGAATGTGTACAATTTTGCATGAAATTTATTTTCAGGTTTATTCCGTTTCCACTTCAAAACATTGTTCTTATAATGTTGAGGTGTGGTTTAGGTGTAGCATAAATCATTTTTATTATTATTAGGTAGCAATGTTTCTAACTATTGCGTGTTCTGGACAAATAAAATACCCAAAGTCTTTGATGTTTGAGGATGGTGATGATGATGTACATGTGTTAAATCCCATCTATGAACAAATTTAGATCCCTTTATTCTTGTTGAGACAGTTTAATGAAATCAAATGACACTTACAATACTATTCTACAATACCTATTTATTTTCCCGTGTATGATCTGGAATGATAGGGATCCACCCAGGAAGAGTTGTTGAAAGATCATTGGTGGTAGAGATGATCCAGATCCTCCTCTGGCTCGGTGTACCTCCTCTGGGATGGGAAATACACCGGAGCGACAGCTTCAGTATCCTCTTGGTGACCGGTGACCTCGGATGGGTCTTTGTGGTACAGGTCATCCATATCCTCCTCTGGATGAAGGTGAATTCTGACCCCACTTTCCCCCCTGACCTCCTGCCTCACCAACTCCATCTGCCCCGGTGAACCCTGGTCGTCACGGCGATGCAGCCCGTCCTCATCCTTCTCTGGCTCGGTCCGTGCAACGCGGACCTCTTTACCGGCATTGTGTCCAGCAATTAGTGGAGCTAGATACACATCCAGCTCCTCCCTCGCTTGGCGGTAGACTTCATCCCAGTCCTGCTCAGGCTCATCTGAGGCCACCTTACTGAAACCAGAGTCCTCCATGTCATCTTTCTCCTTCTCTGGTTCCTGATGGTTCTTCACGTGGGAAACTTCCTGCCAGGGTTCTGCCTGGATGTCAGCAGCAGGGAGGGCCTCCAGGTTTTGTTTATGAACATTGAGGAGATGAGCCATCAAAGGATGGTGCAGCTTATCCAAGTCTTCTTCCTCCTTCAAGGGTTTTTTGTCCTCTCCACTGGCTGTCATGCTCTTCCAGATCCTCATGCGAGGGTCGATCTCATAGTGAGTCTCATCCATGTCCTCAGGAGGCTCTACTTCCACTCCTAAGGACATGCGTCCTTCCTTTAAGGACCTGAAATAATAAGAGACAATCTAAGCCTGCATTTCCTCCTTCTTAGAGACAATTACTCTCAGGTTTAGTTACAGGAAATTACAACTCACATGACCGTATGCTGGAATTCTTCATCTGTGAGTTGATTCTGAGAAAAGAGAACACATACGTCATTACTTCATGTCCAACATACAGACATGCTTGTCGGTTTAAATTCATTAGGACAATGTGTAATATGATTTGTAGATGTAGACTCCCCAGTATAAGACATACTACACACATACCCAGGGTTTGTATGGCTTTGCACTGATGCCAAGTATCAGAACACAGAAACTCAGAAACCTAAAAGTCAAGAGAAACTGGATTTACGTCTAGATTTCAATACAGTGACAAATATTATACAACAGATCTTTGTCCAGTCAGAGAAACAAACCATGCAATCTTTACACGTTTACACAGGATACTACAGCATTCTTACCTGAACATGTTGACTGCTTTCAGCTCAACTCTTTGGATCTGAATGGGTTTTTACCCCTCCACCTTCTGAGAAAATGAAGGACCAAAGTTCTCTCAATAAACCAAGGATATTTTGTTGACCTTTGTATCCTCTGAATACACATGTCAGCTGTAAGTAATTCACTTCCTTAAGCAACATTTTGTAAACATATTAGTGTGCCAAATCCTGATTTTACACCTCATTCTGCCACAAAGTCCAACAAGTGTAAGTGCCGTTTTTTATGTACATATCTGTCTTGAATAAGATCATTGTGGCCTTTGGTTTAGTTCCTTGTTATTTTACTGATTGAATTGAAATTTCAGCAATCAGTGATCACACAGTTATAAAAGTCCACGGCCTTGAAGCTGAGGTTGACATATTTTCTCATAAATCAATTATCTAACAGTAAACGTTTCTGTAATCGACCCCATCAACCAAAGTTACTGAGGTTATCCAGATAAACTGCTCAGAACTACAGAGCAAATACAAAGTCAGTCTTTGTTTTTGTACTAGATTATGTGAGCATCAAATTTCTACTATTTGCCATTTAGCAGTACATGCAACTTCAACAATTGGATAATACCCACTATAATCTAGTTGTAGGCAGCATTTTAAAGGGTTCAGCGGTGCTTATCCAAACATATTTTAGTTTATTATAAAAAATAATTGGTACAGCACAACTTCACAAATTAGCCTCTGAGGGTTTTTGAACAGCATCCTCTGTCCAAAATGAAAACACATTGAGACCATGTTAAGCATCTGTAATTTGCTTTACGCAGCCATGAAAAAAAGGTAAATGATTCATCCATATTATATACACACTAAAAGAATGTGATTTAATGTCAGTGCAGCGTTTAGCGTCTGGCAGTCCGTCTACCTGCTGCCAAGTAGCTCATGTTAGAGTTTACTCCTTATGAGACTCTTCACTGCTCCTTTTTCTCTGTTCAACAGTAGGAGAGTCGCCATTAAGTTAACATATGGGTCAATAATGTCTCATGACAACAGGATTCGGCACACACACACACACACACACACACACACACACTGTAAGGACCGGACCAGACAGACACACTACACACTTCCTGCTCTGTTGAAGGGATGGCTCCACTGCGTCTGCTGATTATCTGCCCCCTCTATCAGATCCATATGTACAAGTCCAATGTTACCCCCTGACTAGCCCCCACTCGCAGGTCACGCACTGGTCTACTGTCTTCTACCCCAAAAAGGCGCCGTCAGCAAGCAAATCCTACAACAGGTAGCAGAGCATTGACTTTTCTTATTCTAGTCCACACCTAATCAGACATTTTGTATGGATTATTTATTCCTTTGAAATTATACTGCCTTCGTGAAGATAATCATGAACACATTGCTGCCAGGTTCATACTGGTGACAGACATCCCGTACAAAGGCTGTTAGACTGACGGTGAGGACTACGATTTGGGCCAATAAGGTTTGATGGATAGAGTGTGTTGTAGCTTCTAAAAAAACACGCACATGAGTAAATCATGTGAAGGCCAGAGGCCCGGCAGCTTCCAGCACAGATGAACCACAGGACTTTGCTCCCTGATCTTGTGATGGCCAGTAAATGAGTAGCGTCCCTTCAGACGGAAGAAAGACTTAGAGGTTGTTTTCAAAACACTTTAAACAAAGAGTGCATTTTGAAATATTACAATCTTAGTATTTTAAAATGGTACTTTGCTCTTTTTACAGTTCGTTTTTTGCACATATTACGCAAATTCAATTATTAACTTGTGTGTTTAGAGTTGAGCCAAACTAAGCGGCTGCTGGGATAAAATAACTGTGACCATATAAATATAACCGAGAATACATGTTTTCCTCTAACAAAAAAAGGTATATTTCACAAAATGTCAAAAACGATGAAGTGACATGGCCCATGTGTCACAATACGTTTTTATTGTTTGCTGTAAATCGCTTTATGTTGTGTGATTCTCTCCTGCTGATTGCCTTCCGGTCATGTGAGGATAATTGAATTTGTATATGTGGGTTGTGCAGATTAAACCTCGACACCTCTGGACACCACCAGAGCCGAAAAATGTTTTCACTCCTCCTGTCACACTGCAAAGTGCACGCTTTAGCTTATGTGCTGCACGATGTTTTAACACATATCTATCATAGAATTGACTAAACCTTTGGAAATAAAGAGGGCACCCACAGACCTAAATGAGTGGGAGTTGTCAGCAGGTAATAGTCGCTGCCAAGAAACTGTAAAACACAGTTATTGCACAAAATGCGAGAAGTGAGCCAAGAATGAATTGCCTGTCTGTAACTATTGAAATGCAACTTATCAAGAGTTTTAATTGTAGGATCTGATGTCCTTTCTCAAAACTGCTGAGTGTGAGTAATGAAGACTTCATGTTTCATGTTACTTGAATTAACGTTGCATCGCTCCACAGGTAAGGAAACAAATAGAAAACAATCATCTTTGACATCAGACTCCACGCTAAACCTCAGCACTGTATCTCTGTTTGAAACCAAGCAAAGACCGCACTGACTAACGAGACACCCCCCCTCCAAAACAATCATCAGATCCAAAACCTCATTATCACCGTCATTACCATCAGTGAATCCCATAAAGGTCGTCCTGGAGCGCGCGGCTGTATTTGAGGCTAACCACCCCTCTGTCTCTGCTCACAGACTTCCGTCATGTTCCTCTGCACACTCACAACATTTAGGAAGGCTGGGGTTTTCTAAATGACTAAAATTAACTGAATGATCTACAATTAACTTAATTGATGCTTCACCCATAACCATTAAACACACATTAGACAACTCACAGTGGAGTTTAACCGCACCAATTACAGGGCTGGGGAGAAGGACCTCCATGGGAGAGCAGAGGCCAGCATGAAGTGCCGTGACGACGGTCTGGTGAACGGGGGAGACGTCAGACCCGGGAAGCGGCCGCAGGGAGAGTTAGTGAGCCATCTGCTCAACAGTTACGAGCGGCACTTCAGCTTTGGACGTTTTAACATCCGTGCCGATGCTTAATGCTTAATCATGTCTCCTCGACGACCCAGTGGGAATTTAGAGGGGTCGGCAAAGTGAGGGGAGCGCCGAGCCGGTTGGTCCGAGGCTCGCAGCCACCTGGCTTTCTGGCTCCTCAGGTAATGCCGGGGAGGCAGACACAAAGAAGGACTCTCCCCTCCGTTATGTAACCGATGGCAGAAGACCGGGTGACCTTTGTATCCCTGGCATCTAAACCAAAAACAGCTGATCTGAGTATCTGTGATGCCCATTAATGACACAAAGCTGTTACCTTATATTTGACCGTATCAACAATGGAAATATTATATTATAGAGACTGTAGAGACACTCTCTCACACACACACAAACACACACACACAGGGCCTCACTCGCGTCCTTCTTAAGCTCATGTGGGACCTGTTAAAGTAAGTTTAATGGCCATTTACTGTGTTTTAGACATTTCTCATTAAAAACATTTTCCACTCGACTATAACTAATGTTTTGGAAAACTCTTTGAATGAAGAACACGTCGTGCCAACAGTTGGCACATGCGGCTCATTAATTTGGAGATCTGCCTCCTACAGGATAAACAAAGGAACAGCGGAGACTTCACTACTGAAATGCACTCATAAATACAGCGGCAGTTATTTCTTATTCCCTAAACTTCAAACCTAGAATAACTCTTTCCTTCCACTTTTGGGAGCTGCTCAAACAAATCGAAAACACAAGTTGATGTGGTAATCTTGTGAGAACAAAGTTGCCAAAACATACAAAGTTGTGTTTTTGGTCTCCTGAGAGAAATTGGTCTCTAGCTGCTTAATATTCCCTGGTCACTAACTGATCTTTTTTATGTTTGGTGCAGGGCCGCCAGCATTCAGGGGGATTTCGGAACAGATGACTGCTTTGACTGTGAAAGCAGTTAGAGGGAACCAAACAGTAAATTTGGGGGCTGGGAAACAAAAATAATGAGCTTAAAACTCTACACAAAACTAAGTGGATCTGTTGGGAACTCTGAAATAGTACCGGTGATTATAGCCCTTGGACGTTGAGGGGACAGGGGTTAATGCTACATGTGTTTTGTCTTCTTTTTCTAACATCGGAGAGTTTACTTCTTGCCAGAAAGGGAAAAGAAGACCTTGAGGGTGTGGTACATCAAACGAGACAAAAAGAGAAACATATTCTGCCCCGTCCCATGAGCCCACCCCCCCCAGCCACTCAGTGCCCTCTTCACTGGAGTCCGCTGCGGTGCTGGCTGCCAGCTGGAGTACCCCCTAACCTCTAACCTCTGACCCCCAGCACCCCAGAATTCACCATGGACGCACCCAGCGGGGAGCACTTCCTGTGAAACAAAGTCACGACGAGAGAGAAGAGCGACAGTGAGTTACAGGTGTTACAGATGTTCTTTACACTGCTTTCACTGCTGCCTCCATCCCTCATTCACCGCACGTGATCCGCGAGATCACAAAAATCCTCTCGTTGTTGATCTGATTTGTCCGTGTGAGTTTGCGTGTCAGAGTCCCATCTGTCCCGACGCTCCTGAGGATCCTGCTGTTCCTTGATGGAGAGCTGCCTGCTACAAAGAGATCCGGTTACAAGAGCGCCGGGCTTTCATCCTTATTAAAGAAACATGTGCTCTTTTTGCTCAGTTAATTCAGCAGACTTTTAGTCTTTGCCGCTTTCAGTTTTTTATCATTGGATAGAAGCGGCCTGTTAATAGAACTCTCATCTTTTCAGCGTTCATGCTTCTTTATTATTCAACGTGAGGAATAACAAACTCAGTTTCATGTATGCGAAGATTAATACGTCTTGTTTGTATCCGCCTCATTTTTGTGTATCCTCTCACCTCAAATATACAATTGTATTTTTGTTACACAGTCAAAATAAGCATATAATTGCAGACTTCATGACAGAGTGCCCAACCCTACTGACTGACGTAGTAATTAAAATATTCACATAATCTTTGGTCAACAAATACTAATTGGATCACTGCTTCAAAGGCTTTTCTGCTGTAGAGCAGCAACAGTGTCTGAAACGTCTTGCATCAGACTATGAAAAGACCAATTTT